ACCTGCCTGGCTTATTAAACATTTTTTTAAAAGCTCCATATGTCTTTGCAAATAGTCAGCTTAGTTCAGCTGTTGGGGGCAATGTTACAGCACTGAAATTGGTTTGGATGACTAAGAAGGAGCCCAGGCAGCCAGTACCTTGGGCAGGCTCCACGTCACGGTGCTCCTGCTTCCTGTGATGTGTCCCATTCCTGTAGCTGTTACTGGCAAAGTATAACTGGGGGTCTGTGAGTGCGCGATCGCCTGGTTGGTGCTTGCACTGAAGCGTTAGGGCCTGTGTTCAGCCCTCAGCCACCTGCTTCTTGACTGGCACATTGCTTTTATAACAATGAATTCCTGGGAATCTCTGAGCAGTTTTTAAAGTGGTTGGAAGAAGGCATTTGACGAGTACATGAAGTGGGTAGACTAGTCCTGAAGTGTTTTAACAGCAGCCAGCTGGAAATGCATTCACATGTGTACATGACCAGACTGGTGCACAGCTTCAAACCCCGCACAGTTGAATTTGAGGTGCATTTTAGAGCCTTTTCTTGTCTGAGCTGTGATCCTGAGATAGAATTTGGCAGCATGAAATAACCCAGAAAACAGATTGCACATAAATTTGGGGAAGAGCCTTGGTGCGTGCTGTGTGCAGTGGCTCAGGCATCCTGAAGAGCTCGCTCTCTGACCGGCCCAGAATGTCGCCTCACATGGTGGGTCTCCAGGAGTGGAGTGCTGAAAAGGCTCTGCCCAGCACGGTGTCTCCTTACTCTATGGCTGCTGCCATCCCTTTGAGAAAAGGTAACAAGGTTGATAGAGGCCGTTCTGCAGTGTTGTATTCAGTGTACCAAATAAAGGTTCGAAGCTGGATGAACGGGTAACAGTGTTTTCTTTTCAGCAGAGGGGCTGGTACTGGAGGTGGGTGCTGATTGTCACTTGAACCTGCTGACTGCTTGAGTATAAAAGCACATGGACTGTGTAACGTCTGTTTTCTGTGATATAGTTTAATTCCTGATTCTGTTTCTGGTAGCCGTCAAGATCAAGAAAAATAAGGACAATGTGAAGTTTAAAGTTCGATGCAGCAGATACCTTTATACCCTGGTCATCACAGACAAGGAGAAGGCAGAGAAACTGAAGCAGTCCCTGCCCCCCGGTGAGTGAGCCTGAAGTGTCTTTTGGTGGGTGAGGGGGTTGGAAGGCTGCTCTGTGTGGCCGTCTTGTATCTTGTTTTGAATCCCTCCCAGATTTCAGAGCCTGTTCGATGGTTTAAGAGTCCGCTCCTGCTGTTGGGAGTGTGAGGAATAGTTGTGATTCTAAGATTATATGCACCACCAGAAACGATTGCTTTAGCCAGAGGAGAGGTTAGAGGTCACTTAGTCCTGTTCACAACCCATTAAGGTTGATGCTAGTACTGATAATCCCTGTTTTGTACAGGGGAACTGATTGAATATGAGAGACCAAGTCTTTAATATTTTAACCGAAACCTCCCTGGTGGATCTGATTTCTGAACCTTCTGTGCTCTCTTTAGCCTATGTACGGAGTCTAGACAGGCAGCAACAACTCAGGTGTCTTCTGGGTGGGTGTCTTCCGGATGGCTTACCTTTGTCTCTTTCCCTCCAGGTTTGGCAGTGAAGGAACTGAAATGAACCAAAACACACTGATTTGACCTGTATTTTAATAAATACTAAAAATCCTAAGTGTCTTTTTTCTTTGAGGATGGGGAAGGAAAAAATGCTACCTGGTAATGGCTTCCGGTGGGAACAGGACATGGGTGCTGTTAACGCCTGCCTGCATCTGTCATCTTTTTTTTTTTTTTTTTTTTTTTTTGAAACGGCCTTACTCTGTCACCCAGGCTGGAGTGCAGTGATACATACAGCCGCTGTCCACTACAGCCTCAGCCGCCCAAGTAGCCAGGATTACAGGCACAGGGCACCACGCGAGGCTAATTCTTGTATTTTTAGTAGAGGTGGGGTTTTGCCATGTTGGCCAGGCTGGTCTTGAATTCCTGGGGTTTCACTGCCTGCCTCGGCCTCCCAAAGTGCTGGGGTTACAGGTGTGAGCCACCATGCCTGGAGCATCCCTAACATGATCTCAGTGGGTAAATGAGGCCATCTGTTTTTAGCCCGAGTTTGAAAATAAGGAGACGTAGGGAGGCCGCGATGGAAATAGCCCCTGGGATTAAACATACTGGCAGCTGTGGGGGCAGTGGGGCATGCCATTCAAACAGGTCCCAAAATGGGTGTAGTAAGGACCAGGCTCTGCCACTAGCTTAACTTGCCTGACTTGGAGAAATGACTTCACTTCTGCCTGTTTCCTCAGTTGGAAAATAGCCATATTAACACCTCTTTCTTGGACTTGCTGTAAGGGTTCTGGGATGGAGTGAGGAGACGGCGCGGGTTGGGGCAGCCACCAGGTGGTGCTGTGCTGCAGTGAACCACCCTGCTAGAAATGACATCAAATCTGTCGCGGCCTGAGGTTTTTTAAAATCTGTTTTAAAAGTGTGCTGCGCGGTGTGCTTGGTGTTGTGTGAGGCATTTACACATGCTCAGGATGTGAGGTGCGAGCGTCGGCCTTTGCATATTGTGCAAGGATTGTGAGGTGGTGGTGGTTCCTCCCGGAGACTGGGTAGGCCGGCCCTCAGGCCCAGGTGCGGCGCTGCGGGCAGCCTCAGCCTCCCCCGTTCTGTAAACATCTCGGATTCCCAAGGAAGAGCAAGTGTTTACCACACGGGTTTTGTTTGTTCCCAGCACATGGTCCAGAGATTGATCCCAGCTCCTAGGAGACGGGCCCTGCAGGGGTGTGTCCGGCCTTGTCTAGAGAAGGCCGTCTTTCATGCGGGGCCTCCCAGCCCTGGCTTGTGACTCGGTCACCAGGGGCACTGAGGCAGTTCACTGTGGTGGCCGGGGCTGGGTAGAGACGGCAGTTGCGGTGGTCTGGGGCATAGATGTGTTTCCAAGCTCTCGGGCGGGCCACAGCCGTGCGGGGCTTCAGTGAGCCGCTAAGGGTTGCACACCAGGTGAAGGTGGAGTCCCTGGGAGGTCTCTTCACGTACTGCTTCCCCTTTTTGACACCTCTAGGTCAGCAGGCCAGGGAAGCAGCTGGAATGAATGGTCGCTGTCTGGGTGCAGGTGGGCTCAGCAGGTTTGGAAGATCCAGGCTGCATTCCTCTGGATGTCGGGATGGCCCTGAGGGACAGCCTCTGCAGTTTGCTTCTTCCAGTGCCACATGCAGGCCTCCAGCCTTCTCGGGCTCCCCTGCACCAGGTTCAGAGTCCTCGGTGACCACCCACTGCCCAGGAAGCAGGCTCTTCCACTTGGGGGTCTCTGAGGGCTGGGGAAATAAAGGCCACTACCAGACCCCTGCCCGAAGAGTCCGTTTTCCCGCAACTGCAGAGACGGATGAGAGAGCAAGATCTTAAGGTTTTCACCCAAAGAAGTTCCTTTCCTGCCACACCCTCCACGCCGGTCACCTGGCGCCTGCAGTTGTCCAGCTCCCCTCTCCCGTTCTGGAACTTGTTCTCCTTCCACCTAGTCCCTGATCTCACAGGGTCCTGTTCGCCCTGCACAGAGCCTCCCCCAGTACCCCTTAGTTCACTGGCATTTCACAGGGCCTGCAATTGCTGCAAGATGCAAGTCCGCCTCACCTCGCCTACTAGGCTGTAGACACCACGTGGGGTGGACACTGGTGTTTTCTATCCCCTAGAGCAGAGAATGTGTTCAAGAAAATTTGTTGAGCTGGAGAAAGATGGCCTGATGAGAGAAGAAAGGGTGTTCCTGGCCTCCGGAGCCCCTCAGCCTTGGGCTGCTGCAGATGACATGGCAGCAGGGCCCCAGGACTGTGGGATCACGAGGAGGGGCCCCACCCCCAGCAGCCTTGTGTGTTTGTGAGAGTTTCCGAGCCCCCTCCCTCCCCACCTCCACCCCCCGCAGCCGCCGGGTCCCTTCAGCCAGAACCCTAGGAACCCCGCCCCCGGCCTCCCGGCCTCCTTTCTCCCCGCAGCCTCTGCTGCGGTCACTGCACCCCTCAGGCTGCCTGCCCAGCGTGGCTCCTCCCTCCGCTGACGGTCATGCCAAGCAGTTTGCGGTTGCAGGACCGGTGGGGGCCTCTGCCTGTGTGCAAGTACTGAGGTCCCAGGGGCACGGGGCTTCCCCGATGGGCCACCCTGCCCCCACTTTGCTTTTCTCCAGAGCCCCTCCTGGCCTGTGTTCGGCGTCTTCTCGGGTACTGAGTCACCGCCCTCTGCAGTGCCTGCACTCGGGGTGAGGGTTTTTGTACGCTTTTGCCACATCACCGATGTAACGGCGCCTGGCACTTAGTAGGTGCTCAATAAATGTATGGGCTTCAGTCTCCCCAAAGGCTCGTCCCTTCCGGGCGCTCCCATCGCTCTCCTACCTTCCCCTCTACACGGCTCGAAGGCCCCCTCCTCCAGGAAGCCCACTGTGTCCCGCTTGCCAGGAAGAATCAAGCAATTTTTCTCAGTCCCTAGGACACCTCGTCCTCACTCAGGCGCCCTGCAGGCGGCTTCGGTGAGTCGTTGGGGCAGATGCACCGGGAGCTCCGGAGAGCAGGGACTGCTTATTTCTCTTTGGGTCCACAGGGCTCGCACAATAGATGGCCAAAAAATGACTGAGAGTGAATTTGGAGTGAGTGACCGAGAGGCTGAAGACTGCCCCCGTCCGTTCCCGGTCTGTCGGTTACTTGCCCTGTGACAAGCGCTTGGGACGGGCAGCCTCCCCTCTCTGACTATGACTGCTGGCTGCCCCCACTGCCTCCTATACCCTTGATCTGATCATAAATAACAAGCAGTCCGGGGACCTCGAGACTGATTTAGAGACTTCTGGGAGCTTTTTTCACTTCCCTCCCACCTCTTCCTCCCCTCCAGCCAGGACAGGTCCCCGCCCAGAAAGGGGCTGTTGGCTGCAGGAGCTGCGCGCCCAGAACTGGGACTGGGCCGGGATCGCGGCGGGGCGGGGCGGGGCGAGCGCGCGCTCGGGGGGGGGGCGGGGCCGGGGGCGGGGCGGGCTCGGGGCCCGGGCCGGGAGGCGAGCGCAGCTGCAGCTCAGCGTGTGGGTCGCACTTGGGCCGAGCCATGCAGGCGGCGCGCGTGGAGTACATCGCTCCCTGGTGGGTCGTGTGGCTGCACAGCGTCCCGCACCTGGGCCTGCGCCTGCAGCCCGTGGACAGCACCTTCAGCCCCGGCGACGAGAGTTACCAGGAGGTGAGTTCGCGCCGTCCCAGACCCCGGCCACGCGCGCCCCAAGTCCACGCACTAGCCCCTCTCCCCTCGAGAACCTGCACTTGCCCACGTGCCTCTCAGACCCCTTGTCTCCCCGCGCAGCCCTTTCCCGTCTCCCCTCTCCCCTTCTCCTCCACCCTCCCAGACCCGTGGCCCGTGGCCCGCGGCCCCTCGGGTCTGGGAACCTGGGGGCCGGGAAAACTGAAGAGATCGGAGTGAAGCGGGAGTGGGGACGGGGAGGAAGGGCGCGGGACCGCCTGCGGGGGAAGGGGCTGAGCGTCGAGCTGGAGTGGGGTAAGGGCAGGGTGAGGGTAGGGGCCTTCGTGTCGGGGTAATTCTGGCGCGCGAGATGCGGGGATGCTGAGGGCAGCCCTGGCATTTTCGACTTTCTGAGATTCCAAGATGGGGCGCTCTCTTTCCGAAGCTGAATGGCCTGGGAAAGTTTGGCAGAAACTGAGTAGCGTCTCCCGAGTCGGTCTCTTAGCACCCCTCCTCCCCAGCCCCGGCCTGCAGGGTGGGAGTCCCTGCCAAGACCTCTGCCTGAGCCCCTGCCGGAAGGCTGCAGGGTTGGGGGAGGCGGCGTGGGTGATTTCCCCTCAAGCGCAGAGAACCCACAGCTGCTTGTGCTTGTTCAGGGAAGGAAGGCGGCCTCGGTCAGCTCATCTCACTGTTGCCCAGAGGTCCCCCTTGTGTTCACTGCCTGCCTCTCCTCTGTCCTCTGGTCCTGGGCTGGCCCATTCCTGTTCCCCCGCACCCCTCTCCCCACCCCACACCTTCTAAGCCCTGAATTTCTGGCCTAGGGGAGTCACTCCCGGCTTCCCCGCCCTTTCCCTAGTCTGCTGACCCTCCCCTTCGCGGGATTCTGCACCCCACTTACAGGGCCAGGGCTCCCCAGACCCCCCTGCCCAGACAAAGCTGCAGAATCTCCCAGCCCGACTCAGGTCTGGTCCTGGGAGCCCACCTGTATCAGTTCCCAATGTTGGGTCAAAGATTCTGGGGCCCGGGCCCAGGATGGGGTCCATTTCCTCAGAGCCAGGCACCCATCTCAGGACTTTGACCCCCGGCAGCCTCTCCCTGTGTCAAGTTCCCCAGATACGGGGCAGGTCAGGGCAAAGCTGGGCCTCTTGGAGGGACTCCTGATCTAGCTGAGTGTGAGGTGCCCAAGCGCCAGTGACAGGGAGTCTAATAATAACCCCTGGTGACCCAGCTGCCATCAGGCCCAGGCAGAGGCTGCCTGCTCTACCAGAGGCAGGGGAGCATCAGGACCCCTTCCTAGGGTTCAGTGGGCACAATCCGCCCCTCTCTCCAAATCTGTCTCTGCCCCTCCCTCCCCCAGAGCCCAGCCTGTGGGAGTCTGTGTTCCCTGAGAATGTGGCTGCCGGCGGATAGCTCCAGGGAATCTTCCTCTCCCAGAGAATGCATGAAAAGAGGCGGATATGATTTCAGAGACAGCTGTGTGTGTGCATGTGAGTGAGTGAGTGTGTGTGTGTGTGTGTCCCCATCCCAAATCCCTGTGTCCCTGATCCCACACCCGGTGTCTCCAGCCATAGCTTTCTCCTCTCCACTGGAGGAAATTTAAACTTCTCATTGTGTCAACAAGACCCCCAGGTAGGGGTAGGGATGGTAAGGGACTCCCTCACCCTGCTGGCTCCAGAGACAGCTCCTATCTGCCCAGCAGCTGTGGCTGGTGGAGCCTGGGTCTGCCCACAGCCCCCTCAGTTCCACAGACAGGTGTCCACTGAGCCAGAGGAACCCACTTGTAGCCCCTGCCCCCTCGTCCCAGGATTCTGGCCCTGGCTCACTTTGTGCTGGGCGTCAAATGGTTCCAGAGGGTGTCCCCTTCCCATCGGCCACTGCTCCTGAGCAGCTGAAATCGGCCCTGCCCACCAGCTCATGGTCCCGCTTGCCCCTCCCCACCACCCAGATCGCTGAGTAGATGAGCATGGCGGGCCAGGATGGGAAGTCTGGCTCGGGGTGTTATTTAAGGCGGCTCCTATTTTGGTAAGTTCCCCTGTTGTGACCACAGGTCTCTCCTGGACATCTTCTTTCCCCCTGAGCACCAGTCACTGACAGTCAGGCAGACCATCAGTCATCCCAGTCCTCAGCAAGCTTGACTGGGGAGAGTGCCATGCCAGCCGTGAGGTGACTGTGATAACCAAGGCAGTGAGTCTTCAGGAGAAGTTGCTGAGGATTCTCTGGGGCTGGACGCTGGACTCTGGACTCAGTGCTGTGGCAGCCACCACACAGTTTGAGGTGGGGGCTCAGCCTTCCAGTTGACTGGGGTAGATTTCCAGTTCTTTCCATGTGTGACCATGGGTAGGTGTCTTACCCTCACTGAGCCTTGCTCCCTTCATCTGCAAGAAATTGATGAGATATTCCACATATGCCTAGTACATAACAGGACTCAGTGACACAGATCTTTCAAAGGAGTGGCTGTGAGGTTCAGCAGTGGGTCTCAGGACAGTACCCCGTAGTGAGACCGAGAGGAAGGAGCTCTCTTCTGCAGACTCTGATCAGGGGAGACTAAACAAAACAGCTGGAGAGAGGGCGTCAGCTCACGCCCCACATGTTCAAAGGCACAGTGCTGGCTGGTGGCACAGTGTGTGTGTGTGTGTGTGGTGGGGGGAGCGTGCATCAAAGGCTAAGCGAGGATGGGAACAGGTGGGTGCTGGCCTCCGGGGATGTGGGTGGTACATGGAATCTCAAAGGCAAGGAGGGTCTTGGAGTGCAGAGATGGTGAAGAGCAGATCACCTGGTGAGCTGGGATTTCCTGAGCAAACTCAGTGTTCCAGAACCTTCCTGAGGAAGTAGGGGGTCTCACTCTCTGGGGCCTTTGGGAGCAGTGGAAGCCCCCAGTCCTCCTGATATTTGATCCTTGGCCCCCTCGCCCTGGTGAACTTGAGCCTGAGTCCTCACAAAGGTCACTTGGCCTGCGTCACCAGCCTTGTAGGGAGGCTGCCCTCCAGTCAGCAGAGGCATGTGAGGTTAGTACCAAGCCAGGGCTGTGGAGGAGGGCACCCTGGCCCTGGCGGGCACCCAGCTCCAGGCTGCCAGGTGTGTCTGTGTGTCTGGAAGGAAATCAGCCTAGACCTGCAGTCCGAGTCTTCTCACCCTTGGTGAGGAGGATTGGATTTGAAGACGATTCTTACTCCAAAGATACGGTAAAAAGACTGATGAGTTTGTGGATTCTGAAGCCTGTGACCAGCGCCTGGCACACTGGAAACTGTCAGTCACTGCTTGGGAAGAAGACCGCAGCCGGCCAGGTGTCCACTGGGCAGTGTTGGGGACAAGGGAACGGGCACCTGGCACTGAATCCAGCAGTGTCTCTCAGCAAATAAACAAGGCACTTCGGTGTCCTTGCCTGGGTGTGAGCGCCACGATCACCATCCAGCCAGCCCCACAGGGAGGCCAGACACTGGTGAGCTAAGTGCCCGGAACTTAGTAAGCTCCCAAAGACTGCGCAAGTGTTAGTTGTTGCTGCTGTCAATAGGCAGGGCCACCTGTGTGCTTCCGGTTCCGGCTTCCCTTCCTGGGATCCGCTGGCCAGACGCTCTTTCGGGACACTGTTAGGAGGCAGAGAAGATGTTTTTTACTTTTTGTATTTAGGCATGTATTTCCATGTGTTCTCTTGGGGTGGTTCGCTTCACACACTCTGCAGGGTACAAAGCGGAGGACAGAGAGTGGGACTGGACAGAGAGCTGCAGGACTGCCTGCCGCTGACCTGGGGGCAGGTCTGAGGAGGAAGGACCAGGCAGCAAGCCCATCCCAGCCAAGATCTGAGAAGAGCCGAGGTTGGGATGGGGAAGCCCCATTCATCCAGAGTGAAATTGAGTCACAGTCATCAGACAGTCACGCCGAGCCTGGGCAAGGGCTTAGCCTTTCTCAGTGGGCCTGGGGGAAGTCTCTCCCTGTAGGTGCCCCTGGTTTTCCTCTCCCAGCCTCACCCTGAGACCGGCTCACCTCTGCTCCATCTCCCCTGGGGGGCAAGGCTGTTGCCCCCCTCCCCCACCCAGTGCAGAAGCCTCTTGGGTCCAGCTGCTGTGGTCACTGCTGCCCCCAGCTTGGGTCCCAGCTTTGTGCTCCCCACTCTGGGTTTTTCTTGACACAGTGAGAAACCAGAAATAATTGAAGTCCCTTTGAGGAGGAAAGAGGCAGTCTGGGCACACTGTGGGAGCTGGGGGCCTGGTGTTGCTGTGGGATGTCGGGGTGGCTGCAGTGCACAGTGGGAGGCATGGGTGGCGTGGGAAATTGTCTTGGCCAACCTCTGTCCGTCTGAGCAGGCGGGCCTGGAGGCCAGCTCTTGGCTGCCTCTTCCTTTCCGCCCCTCCCTCCATGCACTAAGGAGCATGCAGTGTTAATTAGGAACAAGAAAATAATTGCCCATTAGAGAGCAGCAGGTGACACCAAGCTGGCCCTGGGAGCTGGTGCTGCTGTCAGGGGCTCCTTCCTGCTCTTTTCCCTCCTGCTTCCTCCTCCCCGGCCCTCCTTACCTCTTCTTTCCTCTTCCCACCTCCTTTTCCCCGTACACCCTCTGTCCCTGTCCCACCCACCACGCCCAGTTTGCTCCCAGTACCCAGGAGGGCTCGGGAGGGTTTGGGAAGTAACTCCCTAACAAAAGGCTTCCAAAGGCTGGGCAGGATGGCTCACGCCTGTAATCCTAGCACTTCGGGAGGCCAAGGAAGGAGGCTCACTTGAGCCCAGGAGTTGGAGACCAGCCTGGCCAACATAGTGAGAGCCTGTCTGTATTAAAAAAGAAAAAAGAAGGCTTCCAAGTTTTGGTTTCGCAGGCCTGCCTCACTTTCGCAGGGGCTGGAGAGCGTTATCAGTATCCTAATTGAGGCCAGCTGCCCAGCTTGGCGAGGCCCCAGGCCACAGACGCCCAGCGCCTGCCGAAGGGGGAGATCGGGAGGCTGGAGGAGGCTAACGAGGGAGCGGCTGCATCACCCACAGCCTGATCCTTCTCGGACGATCCTTCCTTGCTGAGTGGGGACATTGGTAGATTCAGGGGCTTTTTCCACTGGGGATAAAATGGCAGTGGGACTGTTCAGGAGGCAAACTTGAAGGGTAGCTGGGCTCCAGGCTACACAGGAGGCTTGTATTTAGGAATGGGGCTCCCTTACTTTTTTTTTTTTTGTCATTGGGAATAACTTGGCCAGGTGCAGGGGTTCACACCTGTAATCCCAGCACTTTGGGAGGCTGAGGCAGGTGGATCCTTTGAGTTCAGGAGTTTGAGATCAGCCTGGTCAACATGGTGAAACCCAGTGTTTACCAAAAGTCCAAAAACATTAGCTGGGCATGGTGGTGTGCACTGTAATCCCAGATACTTGGGAGGGTGAGGCACGAGAATCACTTGAACCTGGGAGGCAAAGGTTGCAGTGAGCCAGGATCAAGCCATTGCACTCCAGCCTGGGCAACAGAGCAAGACTCTGACTCAAAAAAAAAAGGAATAACTTATAGAAAAGAGTGTCATCTTAAGTGTGCAGCTCAATGAATTTATACCCACAAGCATGTGCATGGTGTGTGTGTGTGTGTGTGTGTGTGTGTGTGTGTGTGTATGAGCAGCACCATCCCGATCAAATTATACTCCTGACCCCCAAGAAGCCTCCTTCATGCCCCCGTGAGGTCAGCACCCTCCCAAAGGTAGCCATGATTCAATGATTCATATTTCTCTGGCTATTTATGAGTGTCTCTGACTTTGAACTTCATATAAGTTAACGCATTCTCTGCTGCTTCGTGTCTGGCTTTCATCCTCTCCCTGACTTCTGGGAAATTCGTCCCAGAAATGTTGTCATATGTGGTGCAGTTCCCTTTCCATGGCTGTGTAGTATTCTAAGACTGTAATACATGTTCTATATCTATTCTGTTACTGGTGGACGTTGTGTCTTTCTGAGTATTTGACTTACTGCTGTGTGAAGCTGCTGTGAACTTTTTTTTTTTTTTTTTTTTTTTTTTTGAGATGGAGTTTTGTGCCTGTTGTCTAGGCTGGAGTGCTATGGTGAGATCTCAGCTCACTGCAACCTCTGTCTCCCAAGTTCAAGTGATTCTCCTTCCTCAGCCTCCCAAGTAGCTGAAATTACAGGCATTCGCCACCACACCCAGCTAATTTTTTGTATTTTTAGTAGAGACGGGGTTTCTCCACGTTAGGCTGGTCTTGAACTCCTAACCTCAGCTGGTTTACCCACCTCGGCCTCCCAACGTGCTAGGATTACAGGCATGAGCCATTAGGAATAACGGCCAGGCAAGGTAGCTCACACCTGTAATCCCAGCACGTGGGTAGACCACCTGAGGTTAGGAGATCAAGACCAGCATGACCAACATTTGTGTATCTTCTGAGGGACACAAGCCTCCTTTCTGTAAAGCAGAGTTGCTGGGTCATAGTACGCATGTTGCACAGTGGTTTGCAAATTGGTTTTTGGGGGTTTCTTTCCTTTTTTTTTTTTTTTTTTAAGAGATAGGATCTCACTATGTTGCCCAGCCCAGGCTAGACTCAAACTCCTGGGCTCAAGTGATCCTCCCATCTCAGCCTCCCCAGTAGCTGGGATTATAAGTGCATGCCACCATGCCTCGCTGGCTTGCAAATGGTTAGGAAGATCCCTGGGCTTTAGCAGAGGGGCCTCAGGGGCTGCCAAGGGGTGGCCAGGACGAAGCATGGCATTTCCAGCCTCTCCTCACTCAGATCGGGCTCTGTGTTTCAGGGCTCTGCTAAAAAGTCAGTTTGAAGAAGTTAAGCTACTGGAAAAAGTTTGAGAACTTCTGTTGACACTAATCCAGCACTTCCCAGACTTTAATGGAATATACGCTGCCTGGGGTCATCTCTAGAGGCCAGTCTGATTCACTGGCTCCAGGGTGGGGCTTGAGATTCTGCACCTCTAACAAGCTCCCAGATGTCAGGGCCACAGGTCACAGGGTGGTGAACTTCACTTTGAGGAAGAGGCACTCAGCTCCCATCTGTCCAGCCTCCTCTACCTCAGCCTGGGCTGCAGGGCCCTCTCGTGACAGGGCATGGACTGAGGACCAGAAGGGGGCAGTGACTGTCCACTGGCTTTTCTACCCCTGGGCTTGCTGGGGTCAGTCCCGGGGACAGGTCATGCTAATGAGTAGTCCAGGCAGGGAGAGCCCTACCGCCCCAGCCCCCACCCCTTGCCACACTGTGAGGTCTTTGGAAGAGGGAGGTGCCCAGATCTTCTGGGCCCTAGCTTCCCAGCTGCCACATTTTTTTTTTTTTTTTTTTGAGACAGGGTCTCCTCCTGTTACCTAAGCTGGAGTGCAGGGACATGATCATGGTTCACTGCAGCCTCAACCTCCCAGGCTCAAGCGATCTTCCCACCTCAGCCTCCAGAGTAGCTGAGACTATAGATACATGCCACTGTGCCCAGCTCATTTTTTATTTTTTATTTTTTTGTAGTGTCTCCCTATATTGCCCAGACTGGTCCTGAACTCCTGGGCTCAAGCGATCCTCCTGCCTTGGCCTCCCAAAGTGCTGGGATTATAGACGTGAGCCACCGCACCTGGCAGAAAGCCACATTTTAAGTCGAATCCATCTGTTCCCCTTCCAAGTGAGCCATCTCTTCTGCCTTTTTCTGGGCTGCCCCCACTTCAGCTGAGAAGTCTGTCGGCCAAGAGTGACCAGCAGAGCAGCACACATCCAGGGCACGAAGGCCTGCCTTTGTCTCACCTGGCTAGCAGGGCGGCCTCCACCAGGGGTCCATCCCCCTAGAAAACGGCCGCGAGACCCCGGGCTGCAGAGCCCACCTTGGTTTGTCAGGGCTGTCTAGGTGTATGCCTCTGTCCCTGCACAGGTCTCGTCTCCCCCTTAGGCCGCAGGGTCCCAGAGTCACCCCTTCCTGCCAATTGCCACCCCCTGCATAGGGCTCCCTGAAACAGGCTTTCCCCGGCAGCCCCCCTGGGGCACTAGGGATTCAGGACCAGGAACCCCTATCAGGGGTACATGGAAGGCAGGGGTGGCTGTCAGCTCAGGAACCTGACTTAGAGCCAGGTTCAGCCCTGGCTGGCAGCCACCAACCCCGATGCCATCTGGTGCCCATCTGGTAAAATCAAGAGATGAGTGGGCAGAGAGTGGTACCATGCCTCCTGACAGACTGTGGCTCCCTTTGCAGGACCCCGAGGTGCTAGGCAGGCCTCAGGTCCCCCCAGCCCTCTCGGGATTCTGGCTTTGCTGCTGCCGCGGGCACTGAAGGTTCAGCTGTCCCTGCTGGGGTGCAGTGGAAGGGACTCCACAGTTGCATATCCTGACTCTCCGGCCCCCTCATGATTCCCCCGGTATGGAGCTGGCTTCTTGAGTCTCAGGATGGACCCCAACGCTTATAACAAGCTCTTCACATTCTAGGTAAAGAACGTGACTGGGACAGTGGGGTCCTTGTGTGGAACAGGCAGCAGGTGCACAGGGCTGTCTTCCGGGACGCTGTCTCAGTGGCACTCAGTGCCTGAGGCCTCCAGATGCTCTGGTCCTGGATGGGGTCTCTCTGCTTGCCTATCACCCTCAGCCATGGAGGTCGCCACCCACAGCCCTCCCTGCCGGCCAGGGATTCCTGCCTTGTCTCCTGTGTGGCTCACACTGTTCCTCAGCAGGGCCTGGTCCATATCTTCGTCCAGGGTCTGAACCAGAAACCAGGACCAGTGCCGGCACGCCTCCCTCACTGAGCACCAAGCTCACCACCTGGCCTCGTGCCCGCCAGGCTCCATCATTCCCACCCAAGTGCCTCTGTGCTGGGCCCTCTGTTTGCAGAGTAGGAGCTTGAACCATAGGAGGAGCCTGGAAGGATGGGTGAGAGGCACAGCTTGGTCCTGGTCCTATCCGCAGCCCAGGCTGCGGGGCACTCAGGGACCAAGGGCAGGGTACTTTCCAAGCCCTGCACTGCGGGAGGAAGAGTGACCACAGGCCTCCGCTCTCTTCCAGTCACTGCTGTTCCTGGCGCTAGTGGCCGCCATCTGCCTGGGCCTGAACCTTGTCTTCCTCGCGACTTACTTGGCCTGCGTGTGCTGCTGCAGACAGGAAGAGGCGGCGCAGACTAAGCATCGCCAGTCCTGCTGCATCACCTGGACGGCCGTGGCGGCCGGGCTCGTCTGCTGGTGAGTGGCCCTGGGCGCTGGGCCTGGGGGGTGCAGCTCACTCTGCAAGGGGCCAGGGACTGTCTGGCCATGTCCTCCTGACCAAGCTGTGGCTACCTTGGTGGAGAAGCTCGTCCCCAAATGAGTATTGTCCCTTTTCTTACCAAGCATGAGCAGTCAGATGCCTGGAATGGTGATGGGGTCTCCAGAAAGGTCTCCCAAGTGGCCCCCCCAACCCCTCCCCCAATATGGGTTTGTCTTGTGCCCAGCAGCCGTGCAGGCTGCTCCCTGAGTATAGCAGGCAGCATTCCCACACCGACACTGGGAGTCTCACCTCCAGTCTGTGTCCCTGTCCCCTCCCAGCTGCTGCTCTGGGTCTGTGAGGTCAGAAGAAAGTTTGACTCCAGCACAAATCAATTCCACCTTCTTGTGAGATCAGTAGCTTTTAGTTCCATTAGCCAGGTCTTCTTTGCTTTGGATGAGGAACTGAGAAATTCATTCCCTTTTCTCTCTCTTTCTCTCTATATCTTTCTCTCTCATTATCTCTCTTTTTTCTTTCAAGATGGGGTCTCACCCTGTCACCCAGGGCTAGAGTGCAGTGGTTCGATCACAGCTCACTGCAGCCTCAAACTCCCCGGTGCAAGCAATCCTCCTACTTCGGCCTCCCAAGTAGCTGGGACTATAGGTGCACACCACCATGCCTGGCTTTTTTTTTTTTCTTTTTGTAGAGACAGGGTTTCATCATGTTGCCCAGGCTGATCTTAAACTCCTGAACTCAAGTGATTCACCTGCCTCAACCTTTTCCCAAAGTGCTGGGATTACAGGCATGAGCCACCACACGGGTTGAGACCATGTTACTCAGGCTGGTCTTGAATTTCTGGCCTCAGGTGATTCTCCCACCTCAGCCTCTCAGAGGACTGGGATTACAGGCATGAGCGACCGTGCTGGGCCTTTTTTTTTTTAAAAAAGATGGGGTTTCACCATGAAGGCCAGGCTGGTCTTGAACTCCTGACCTTAGGTGATCCACCCACCTCGGCCTCCCAAAGTGCTAGGATTACAGGTGTGAGCCACTGCACCCGGCCTCATGCTGGGCCTTGAAGTGAGGTTTCCTAACTCGCGTGCAGGAGTCTGTACCCAGCCCCCGACACTGCCTGGCCACCCCACCCCAGCCAGTGTCCACATGCATGCTGGCTGTTTTCAGGAGTTGTTACATTTTTTCTTGTTTTTAAATCTATAGAGGCTTTTCCAAAAGCCTCTGGTGTCCATGCAGAGACACTTCTGGGGTGTGGTCACCCCAGAGAGTAGAGTCTCTCACTACCTGGCAGCAGGCTGGCAGCCAGGCAGGTCCTGGTGAGCCTAGGGCTGAGGATTCCTGGGTTCTTATCCCCAGGCAGCTCACCTTACCCCTGCAGTTTTCTCCTCTGTTAGAAGATGCTCTTGATTTCATCCTGCGTGTAGTGTGAGGCTCACTCACACACCCAAAACACAGGCAAGACGCTAAAGCAGCTCTGTGGGGCTGACAAAGCTCTGAACACAGGGAAGAGGACCAAGGCTGCTGTGACATGCGGCCAGGGCTGAAATAAGAGACTCAGAGGACAGAGTTCTGGACAGGTCAGAGGTCACAGGCGAGTGCGGTTCTCAGTAGAATGGAAGAGCTTTGAGAAGTGACTGTGGTGTTAAAAATCCTCCTGCACGGCCGGGCACAGTGGCTCACACCTGTAATCCCAGCACTTTGGGAGGCCGAAGCAGGAGGATCACGTGACCTCAGGAGCTCAAGAGCCGCCTGGCCAACAGAGACGCCGCCTGAAACCCCATCTCTACTAAAAATACAAAAATTAGGGGGGCCAATTTGTCTAACGGCTGCAAGGCCCCAAACTTGCAGGTGAAGCGTGCCTGGAATCCCAGCTACTACTTGGGAAGCAGAGCCAGGAGAATTGCTTGAACCTGGGAGGTGGAGGTTGAAGTGGGCTGAGACAGTGCCACTGCATTCCAGTCTGGGTGGCAAGAGTAAGACTCCATCTCAAAAACAAAACCCTCCTGCTGAGACTGTGCGGCAGTGCAGGGCACATGGGGAGGGGTGGGACCCAGGGGACATCTGGAGAAGCCAGCAGCACCCGCTGCACAGGGACTCCTGTTGCATGAACTCAGATTTTTTTTAATTTTTAGTTTATTATTTATTTTTTATTTTTAGTCAAGCTTGCAAGGTTTCTATTTAGAAACAAACAAACAAAAAAAAAAACAACAGAGGCTGGGCATGATGGCTCACACCTATAATCCCAGCACCTTGGGAGGCCGAGGCAAGAGGATCACTTGAGGCCAGGAGTTGGAGATCACCCTGGGCAATGTAGTGAGACCTCACCTTTCCAAAAACGAGCCAGGCATGCTTGTAGTCCCGACTGAGGCAGGAAGAGGATGAGCCCCAGGAGCTGGAGGCTACAGTGAGCCGTGATCACACCACTGCACTCCAGCCTGGATGACGTGAGAGCCTGTCTCTTACACACACACACACACAGAGAAAGAGAGAGAGAGAGACAGACAGACAGACAGACAGACAACAAACCTGGTTTTTGAAGAATACTTTCTTTGGCATGGTAAGAATGGCATGAGGAGTCAATTCTTCCAATAAGAAAGAATTCCCTGCAGTGTAGGGAAAACTCAAGGCGGAAGGAATGTGCCTGGCAGAATCCATCCCACAACATTCTGGGCTTTACTCATGCCAGGCCAGAGGGCGCCAGCAGGAAGAATACAGGCATCAAGTCTGCTTTCTGGGTCTGTCAGCAGGGGCTGCGAGCCGAGCCCCAATTTGCTTTGAATCATTACAACTGAGGAGAGAAGACTGGGCATAGTGGCTCACGCCTGTAATCCCGGCGCTTCGGGAGGCCAAAACAGGTGGATCACTTGAGGTCAAGAGTTCGAGTCCAGTCTGACCAACATGGCGAAACCCCATCTCTACTAAAAATACAAAAATTATCTGGGCACGGTGGCAAGTGCCTGTAATCCCAGCTACTTGGGAGGCTGAGGTAAAAGAATTGCTTGAACCTGGGAGGCAGAGGTTGCAGTGAGCTGTGATTGTGCCACTGTACTCCAGCCTGGGCGACAGAGGGAGACTTCGTCTCAAAAAAACAACAACCAAAAAAAACTAAGGCGAGAGCTCTGAAGGAATGGAGCCAGCATAGAACTGGATGGCCCACCTGAGTCCAGGCGTCCCTGGGTGACAAGGGCACCCAAACCCATAGGATGAGAAGGCGTTAACTTGGCAAAGGTGGGGGCAAGGGTGGCAGAGCCATCTCCAGGCAGAGGGAAGAGGAGCGTTAATAGGCCCCCAGGTGGGAGGGAGCATGAGGCTAAAGGAAGCCAAAGCGGCCAGAACAGATGAGGGGGCTGGGGGCCCTGCCGAGGGCTGGGGTGAGCAGTGAGTGGCAATGGGATGGGGAGAGTGTCACGGGGTCAGAAGACACAGCGGGCAGTTGGGATCCAAACCACGGAACAACTCATAGGCTGTGACTAGGGTCAGGTTCTTTATTCTTTTTTTTTTTTTTTTTTTTTGTTTTTGTTTTTTGACAGAGTTTCGCTCGTTACCCAGGCTAGAGTGCAATGGCGCGATCTCGGCTCACCGCAACCTCTGCCTCCTGGGTTCAGGCAATTCTCCTGCCTCAGCCTCCTGAGTAGCTGGGATTACAGGCACACGCCACCATGCCCAGCTAATTTTTTTTGTATTTTTAGTAGAGACGGGGTTTCACCATGTTGACCAGGATGGTCTCGATCTCTTGACCTCGTGATCCACCCGCCTCGGCCTCCCAAAGTGCTGGGATTACAGGCTTGAGCCACCGCGCCCGGCCCCCCAGGTTCTTTATTCTAAGAGCCAGGGGAGCCACAGCAGGGGCTCTGCAGTGGTAAGGTGACCGGGTAACTCAGGTTTGACGGAAGTGAGTATCTGGAACAGCGGGACCTGAATGCAAAGAAGTGGTCACCGGGCGGCAGAAGAGCTCAGAGGCCTAATGAGGGCAGACAGTGACCCCAGGGTTAGCAGCAGCAGGAGCCACCACCACCACCTGCGGGCCAGAGGGACAGAGGGAGAGGCCATGTCACTAGGGAAGCTGGAGCCACACAGCCTGCCAACAGCAGCTGCAGAGCAAGGGGCACAGGGCCCTGCTGCCTTCCCACCACCTCCAGTCCCCTGCCAGCGGCTGCATCGGCAAAAGTCAGCTTGCAGGGGAGCCAGAGACGTTCAGTGAGGGATCAGCCCCCTGTGGTGGAAAACAGGGCAGGGGACAGAGGAGGGACAGGTCCAGGCAGAGGGTCGCATAGATAGGGACAAGAGTAAAACTCGGGCTATTAGGGAGGCCCAGTCAGAGGTGGCGGGCTGACACCCGGGTGTGGGCACAGTCAGAAGAGGACAACTGCACAGAGGAAGAACCGGCTGGGGAGGTGCAGGGAGAAGCTGGTGAAGTGGATCCGCAGGCTTCTGGCTTAAGCACCCGGATGGGGTGGCAGTGCCATCCTCCGAGGCATGGGACATTGGCAGGGAACGTGAAGAGAGGCAGACGGTCACAGTATGGTTGTGCACAGATTGAGTTAAAGGTGCCTTTGAAACGTCCACGTGGAGTTGGAGTTACAAAGTCGGGGTCACGAAGGCGGCCAGTGCGGCAGCCACACGCACGAGGGACCTACCGTAGGCCACGCACAGTGAGAAGAGAAGGGGGCTGGGTCCAGCGTTTAACGGCTGGGACACAAAAGGTGCCTGTGAAGGAGACCAGGAAAGAGTGTCCCACCAGGAAGGGCTGGGAATTCCGCAAGGACACAGGCGTCATGGGGCAGCGTGTTCCAGGAAGAAGAGCCAAGCTGACCACTGCATGTGGGAGGGGGGTTGGGAAAGGCCCTTGGGTTTAGTGGCAGGGAGGTCACTGGTCACCTTCGCTGGAGTTTCGCCCACTGGGACACAAGAACGGCCCGGTTGGTGTGAGCTGTGGGAGGGGCAGGAGGGAGAGTCGTGACAGCAGCAGGAGAAGGAATGGAGGTCAAGGCTGGGGGACTGAGGTGGGAGGACACATAAGCTCTGCTGACGTGGCTCCGCTGGAAAACGGGATCGAATACACAGAAGAAAAGACCGAGAAGGGGGTCCTGAAAAAGCAAAAGGGATACGAGGTGCTCCTCATTTTGAGGGAGGTAGTGATTTTATATTTGGGAAAGATGGGGGTGTGAGCATGCCAGGAAGAAGGCACCACCAACTCACTTGTCCCCAACTGCCCAAGCAGAACAGGCTTTCTCATGGCCTGGGTGGGACCAGTGACCCCAGGAGGGACCAGGAGACCCTCATTGAACAGCCAAGGCAATTTTTTTTTTTTTTTTTTTTTTTTTTTTGACAGTCTTGCTCTGCCGCCCAGGCTGGAGTATAACGGCGCAGTCTCGGCTTACTGCAACCTCCTCCTCCTGGGTTCAAGTGATTCTCTTGCCTCAGCCTCCCAAGTAGCTGGAATTATAGGTACACGGCACCATGCCCAGCTAACGTTTGTATTTTTAGTAGAAATGGGGTTTCATCATGTTGGCCAGGCTGGTCTTGAACTCCTGACTTCACATGATCCACCTGCCTCAGCCTCCCGAAGTGCTGGGATTACAGGCGTGAGCCCCAAGGCGATTTCTGATCCCCAAAGATGAGGTGTAACATCCCAGCCCCTTCTGGGCCATCGCTGATAAACCCACAGACTAGGAGAAGGACATAAGCCAGAACTGCATCCATTTCAGAAGAGACCCGAGAGAATGAGAACGATAGGAAGGTGCAGGCTTCATACTGAATCCGCAGAAAACTCTAAATCATGACTCAGAGCACTAGGAAAGGATGATCACACCGAGCCGACAAACGGCTTCTCAGAGCACAGGACGATGGGTTCATTTTCTTTTCAATAAAGATACCAGTTGGAGGATCATGGAAAGACAATTCATTTAACGTCTGAATATCTCAGCTGAGCGCTTGGCGAAGCTCCTCATCTCTGTGTGGATACTGTGGGAAAAAATGTGTGGCATTTTCCACGTTGGTACATTTTACTGGGTTCAAAGCTAGTTATAAAACTCTGATTGAATCCAAAAAATATTGACTTGTGCAGTAGATTTTTAAACTGTAGAGAGAGAGTGTGTGTGAGAGAGAGAGACAGAGACAGAGACACGTGAAGTAGGCAGGAACCTCGTTTTTCTAAATGTCTGCCGCTCCCCATCTTGGATGATGATGCAGGAACCTCATTGTAAAAGGCACATTCCCAGGCCACACTGATGGAATGGGCCAGGCTGCTCATCTGCACTTAACAGGCTCCCCAGGTGATTCTGCTCCTGAAGTCCAAGGACCACATCCTGAAAAACACTGAATTCTAGGGGTCAAGGGCGCCCTGGAAGGAGATTTCTATCACAGTCCTCTGGGGGTTTCATCCTAGATCCTGTCTTTTTTTTTTTTTTTTTTTTTTTTTTTGAAACGGAGTTTCACTCTTGTTACCCAGGCTGGAGTGCAATGGCGCGATCTCGGCTCACCGCAACCTCCGCCTCCTGGGTTCACGCGATTCTCCTGCCTCAGCCTCCTGAGTAGCTGGGATTACAGGCACGCGCCACCATGCCCGGCTAATTTTTTGTATTTTTAGTAGAGACGGGGTTTCACCATGTTGACCAGGATGGTCTCGATCTCTTGACCTCGTGATCCACCCGCTTCGGCCTCCCAAAGTGCTGGGATTACAGGCGTGAGCCACCGCGCCCGGCGATCCTGTCTTGTTTAAAGAACAAAAGAACCAATGGAAGTGTGGGCGTGGACGTGTACATTCATCTTCCCCTACCCCAACCCAAATGAGCATTTTGGATGAAAACTCAGGAGACTGCTTCATCAGTCTTCAGACAGTCCCAAGTGCTGCAGGTCAGATGGAATATGATGGATGACACGAGTCAAGATTTGAAATGATTTGTTCGTGCTGGAATGTTGGACTAAAACCAACTAGATGAGATTTCACAGGGCTAGATTTAAAGTTCTGCTTTTGGTTAAAATGAAACAAAAATCCATACAGCACTATAGGAAGGAGGAGGGACTGGGCTTAACGGCAGTTCTTGGGAAGAAATTCAGGGGCTGTTTGTAGACCACAAGAATGGTGTCGGGAGAGAGGGAAACCAGGGTGGGCACAAGTTCAGGTCAGTGTCCCGGGGAGCAGAGGTCCTAAGAAATGAGCCCCGCTGCACTCAGAGCTGATGAACAAACTGTGGGGACTTGAGTGACTCAGTCAGGCCACATTTAAGAGTGACATTAACCAATTAGACTTTCATCTAGAGGACGGTGATGGCCTGGGCAAGGTCTGGAGACCTTAGGCCAAAGAAGGACACCGGACCCACTTGGAGAGCACAAGGTGAGAGGGTTGGGGGAAGCCACATTCAGACGTCTGACTAGGGCACTGTGCAGAATTGGAAGCTTATTCCAGGCGATAAAGGAAGATCCAGTGGGTGAGTGGCTTAAGGAGTCAGGTTCAGCTCAGTAGAAGAAGGAACTTTCTATAAGCTGAGACTTCACAGTGGAAGAACAGACTGTCCCATGGGTGGCCTGGGGATGCTGGGAGAAAGGTCGGAGGATGTCGAAGGAGTCCACAATTCCTGGAGGTGTCAAGAAAGACCCAGGATCGGCACTGGGTGTGATCTCAGCAGACCTCAGCGATTCCCAGGCCCAGCCGTGTCAGAATCCCCCGGGGGCTGGTGAAAGTGCGGGTACCTGGGCCCTCCCCGGACCTGCTACATCATCATCCCTAGGGCTGGCTGCAGTCTCCTGCCTTTTGGAGTCACAGGACTGGAGGACACTATTTTCCTATTGCCTGAGCAAAATGTCCTGTGGAGCCAGCCTGCCAGGGCCCTTAACCTTCACTTCCCCACCCCCAGCCCCACCTGCCAGACTGTGAGATGTCATTCCCCTACCCACACCGGCCCCCAGGAAAGAGTTCCTCAGCTAAAGTAGAAAACCTGCTCTCCATGGATGTTTATAGCAACTACATTCAGAATTACCAGAACTTGGAAGCAACGAAGATGTCTTATAATAGGTAAATGGATAAACTGTGGTCCATCCAGATGATGAACTATTCTTCAGCACTGAAAAAAAAAATGCATCATCAAGCAAGGGGGAAGTCATGGAGGAATCTTAAATCCGTATTACTAAGCGAAAGAAGCCAATCTGAAAATGCTCCACACTGTATCATTTCAACCCTGCGACATTCTGAAAAAGGCAAAACTGGAGAAAGTGAAAAGGTCAAAGGTTAAGGCCAGGCACAGTGGCTCATGCCTGTAATCCAAGCACTTTGGGAGGCCAAGGCGGGCAGATCACCTGAGGTCAGGAATTCAAGACCAGCCTGGCCAACGATGTGAAACCCCATCTCTACTAATAATACAAAAATTAGTTAGGCGTGGTGGCACGTGCCTGTAATCCCAGCTACTCGGGAGGCTGAGGCATGAGAATCACACCCAGGAGGCGGGGTTGCAGTGAGCCAAGGTCTTGCTATTGCACTCCAGCCTGGGCAACAGAGCAAAATTCCATCTCAAAAAAATAAAAATAAAGGGGTTAGAGGGGAGGGGGTACTTAATAGACAGAGCACAGAGGATTTTTAGGGCAGTGAAACTACCTTGTATGATACAGTAATGGTGGACAGGACATTTTTTCTTTTCTTTTTTTTTTTTTTTTAACTTTTTGCAGAGATAGGGTCTCACTATGTTGTGCAGGCTGGTCTTCAGCCCCTGGGCTCAAGCGATCTACCCACCACAGCCTCCCAAAGTGTTGGGATCACAGGCGTGAGCCACTGCACCCAGCCAACGCATGTCATTATCCATATGTCAAACCTATAGAATGTGCAGCGTGGAGCGTGAACTCTAGTGGAAGCTGTGGACTTTGGGTGGTGATGATGTGCCTGTCTAGGTTCATCAGTTGTAATGGACATGCCACTCTGGAGCAGGATTTTAGAGTGGAGTAGGAGGCTGTGTGTGCCTGGGGCAGCGGATATATGAAAACTCTCTACTTTCCTCTTAATTTTGCTGTGAACTTAAACTGCGCTTAAAAAAAAAAAAAGGGAAAGGGAAAAAAAACCAGTTTGTTTTTTCGGAGACAGAGTCTAGCTCTGTCACCCACAAGGGAGTGCAGTGGCATGATCTTGGCTCACTGCAACCTCTACCTCCTGGGTTCAAGCAATTCTATGCCTCAGCCTCCTGAGTAGCTGGGATTACAGGCATGAGCCACCGTGGCCAGCCCCAAGCTTATATTTTAAAATAAACACAAACATTCTCTTTGTGTCACCTCTAACCTCTGTTTGGGGTCTTGCTTGCAGTGCTGCGGTGGGCATTGGTTTCTATGGAAACAGCGAGACCAACGATGGGGTGTACCAGCTGATGTACTCCTTGGAGGATGCCAACCACACCTTCTCTGGGATCGATGCTCTGGTAAGGCTCCGGGGCAGCTGGCCGGGCACAGGCACAGCCCACAAGGCCAGTGTGGTCAGAGCAAGGGCCCCATCAGATCCCGGTGGCTCAGCTGCACATGGAGGGCCTGTGTGCTGCCCAAGGGCTGGACCCCCGTCTGCGCTGCAGTTGCCTCTGCTGGGGCAAATGGGCAATTGTGCTTCCCAAGTCTGGAGGGGTGGCAGGGATTGGGGGAGGACCAAAGGAGGCAGCTGTGGGATCAAACTCCATTCATTTTCCGGAAAGCCAAACTCCTTCCACTTGGTCAAAGGAGACCTGAAACGTGGAAAATCAGCCCCACTGCATTTTTTTGTGTTCATTTTAATGCTGCATACAGAGTGTTGCGGGGTCCAGGAGATGTCAAGAAGAAAAAACTCTTCAGAAACAACTGAGGACCGGGCGTGGTGGCTCACTCTTGTCATCCCAGCACTTTGGGAGGGAGGCTGACGCATGTGGAGCTCAGGAGTTCGAGACCAGCCTGGGCAACATGGCAAAACCCTGTCTGTACCAAAAGTACAAAAATTAGCTGGTCGTGGCATGGTCCCAGCTACTCGGGAGGCTGAGGCAGGAGAATCACTTGAGCCTGGGAGGCGGAGGTTGCAGTGAGCCAAGATCATGCCGCCATATTCCCAGCCTGGGAGACAGAGCATGACTCCATCTCAAAAATTAAAAAAAAAAAAAAAACCAGTTGAAGAGTCCCATGGGGTGCGGTGATGGAAACCTGCCGCAGGTCCTCGGGGCTCTGGCTTCCGGACTTCGACTCCAGGTGGGGGCTCACAGTGAAGGGTGTGCTGGCCTACCTAGAGGAGGACTCTCAGGGGAAGGGAATGGCTACTCTGCCAAGCCAGGGCTGGATTTTGTGGCAGAGACTGCTTGACACACACGGGCCTCTTGCTGGGGCTGCCACCCCGCTGCTGAGGGCCTGGCCCAGGGAGGAGCATGACGAGGGTGGACAGCTGAGGACTTGGTTCCCTCTGCCTTTTCCACCCCAGCTGCCTGGAACTGGAGTTTTCCCAGCCCACACGTGTCACTTTCACTCTAAGCACCAGGCTTTTTCAGATGCTTGTCCCAGCAGCCTCTGCCACAAAATCAAGCCCCAGCAGGAGAATCTGGCCATTGCCCTGGCGTCCTCCGGAAGAGGATTGGACCCCATTTGCCACCCTCCTGCTCCCTTAAGCTCCTCTAAGGCTTTAATCCCTCAGTCAACAAGGGGGGGTCACCTTAAAGAGACAGCTGCGCTGCTCCTCTGTGCCCAAGTCCATTGTGGGAGGAGGCCCTGACCTCCAGAAAGGGGCTGAGGATGGGTACCAGACCAGGGGCCCTGGTCTCTGCAGAGTTCATTCTGCCGCCAGTGTCCTCCGGGACCCATCCCTGTAGCCTGAGCGCTGATGCCCGGTGTGTGGATGCTGGGCTTGAACAGCCTTGTGGGGTGAGCTGGGGTGGCTGGGATGCAGGAGTTGAGCGACTGCCAGCTCGGGGCTGGGAAGCAGAGGTGTAGCCTGGCCTAGCTGGAGAAAGCTCTCCCTCTGGGCACCCCACCCTTGCCCCGGGCCCTGGTGGGGAAGGGCCCCATAGTCACTGCCCTCTAGGCTCTCTCTGCCCCTCCCTGCTGCCCTGCTGCCTGCCTCCTCTTCACCCACCAGCACCAGAATCGCTGGAGGAGGAACCCAGCCCTGAAAGGAAAACCCCCTCCCCTGCCCTGCCCTGCCCAGGAAGGCCCCAGGGCCATGACCTTCCCTGGTGTAGAGAAACTCCTAGAACTCCCTTATGGGAAAACTTGAAGTCCTTATCCCCCAGGATGAGAGCTGTATGGGGAGGTGAGCTGGGAACAGGCCCCCAGGCTGGGTCCTTCCACCCCGAAGCCTGACAGTGCTCCAGGTTGCTGGGACCCGTGGGGCTGGTTTGGGCCTCGGGGTGGACACTCAGCGCACCAGTTCTCAGGGGTCCAGGGGAGGCAGCAGACCTTAGAAGACTTCCCAGACCCAAAGGGGGAAGTCCAGATATCAGATAAATGGCATTAGTGCGATAATGTCAGTGAAAGTGCTGGTAAACTATAAAGCACCCTCAACTGGTGTGACTGTGATTGTGAGTGCTGTTACAGTCAGTACCGTAATCACGGTGGGGTCAATGGGAGGCTGGGGTCTGGGACCCTGTGGGCGGCAGAGGCAGGTGGAGGACTCGTGAGCAGGTCAGGCAGGACCTGGCCCTGGGCCTTGCTAGAGCCCAGATCATGCAGCTGACTGGCTAGGAAGAGGCCTCTGGGGTCGCACCCACAGAGTGGGGTGAGTCCTCCTTTCCTGGACTGGAAGCCCCACACCTGTCCGTTTCCACCTAGAGGGATGCCTGTGCCTTAGGGGCGGTGGCTCAGGGCTCAGGGATCGGGTGGTCCTGGGAGGGCTGCCTGCCCCAATCTAGGGGTGTAGAGAGGAGTTGTTTGGGGACACCAAAACTTCCCGCACCTAGTGGCCAGCACGGCCCCTCCAGGCGTTCTTACATGAGCCTGCAGCAGGCTGGTCGGCAGCCCTCAGGTGAAGAAACTGAGGCACAGGGAGGTTACATGGCTGCCCCAAAGTTGAAAATGTGTGTGTTTCAGAGCAGAAACCAGAATCTGGGCCTCCTGGTCTTAGCCCCTTACCTCCGCTGACCTGGCCCAGCCAGCCTTCCCGATAACCTCACTGAGCACCGCAGCGCCTCCCTCCCAGAGGTCTTCACACTTGGGTTTGCATCAGAATCATCTGGAAGGCTGGGTAAACACAGACTGCAGGGCCGCGCCCCCGGAGGATCTGATTCGGTGTGTCTGGGGCAGGGCTGAGAACTTGCTTTTGTGAGTGAGTTCCCAGGGGGTGCCTCTTATGCCGCTAGTCCCAGGACCACACTTGAGAACTGCTCTGTGCTCTAGACCATGGTCTCCACCACCTGGAGCTTGTCCCTAACTCTGCCCAGCCTGGAAAGCTGACCTGTCCCTCCCATGAGAGCCTGATTCCATCTCTGCGTCATCCCACCTGTCCTTGAAGGGCGGGCTGGGTACTGAACCTTTAAGGAATTGGGGATGATGTGGCGAAGTGGGGAACCGTAAGTAGGTCACTGCTGTCATTCTTATTTTAAAAAGCAAAATTTTTTTGTTTGTTTTTTGAGACAGAGTCTGTCACCCATGCTAGAGTGCAATGGTGGTCTCGGCTCACTGCAACCTCTGCCTCTCAGGTTCAAGCAATTTTCCCACCTCAGCCTCCCAAGTAGCTGGGACTACAGGCACATGCTACCACACCCGGCTAATTTTTGTATTTTTAGTAGAGATGGTTTCACTATGTTGGCCAGGCTGGTCTTGAACTCCTGACCTCGTGATCTGCTCACCTTGGCCTCCAAAAGTGATGAGATTACAGGCATGAGCCACAATTGCCCGGCCTCTATTTTTTTTTTTTTTTTAATTTTAGGATCTTTTGAGCCTAGGAGTTCAAGAACAGTCTGGGCAGCATAGCGAGACCATATCTCAAAAAACAATTTTTTAGTTTTGTTTCCTGTGGGGAGATACCAGGAATAAAAGAGAAGTCATGAGAAATGAATGCCTTCTTCTTTTTTTTTTTTTTTTTCCTAAGGAGGAGTTTAAGAAATAGAGAAGTTAAAAATGGAGAACTGTGAAGGAGAAAAGAAGTGACCTTACAGAAAAAAATTTACAGATAATTTTTAACAGCCCTTTGCTCTGAAGTTTGTTTGCTATAATATAGAAATATGGAAATGTCACCTATTACTGGGGTTTGTTCATAATGGCACCATTATTTGATAATAGTGCCACTCGTATCAATGGTTCCAAAGTGGTTGTGCATTTATCTTATTAAATTGAACAGCAGAGCATACTAGGATGGCCTTTAGTTACTGAATGTACTTGAACGTGGTTTGCGGTCTTTTCCCCTACGCTACAAGCTGTCCAATCTGTACAGGGAAGAGTGTCTCTGTACTCTGATATCTCTTAGTCCTCAACCAGCTCATAAGAACCAAGCATAAGCCAGAAAACGGAACAAGCCGCTGACGCTGAAAAAATAAAACAAAATGAAACAAAGAGAGCCATTCTCTTTTCTGGAACCTGGAACTCCCAGCATAGCGCAGATGTAAAAGGCCACACAGCTGACGTGAAGCACCCATAACAGAGAGAAGGCCATTGGCCTCCGGGAGTGGAATCCAATCGGCCTCGCTGAGTTCTCACTCTGGGAAGTTTCTGCCTCTCCTGTGTTGTTTTTATCTCCCAGACCCGTGGGAGCTAAAGGCTGCTGAATGTGGATTAGGGCGCACTGCCCTGCTCCCGGCCCGCTGTGCCTCTTGGTTTAACGTGACAGTTTCAGAACAACAAAGCCCTTTCTTCCCTCGCTGCCAGCAACAGCGTGCTTGGGGCTGCCAAGCTGCACCCCGGGGCCCCGCAGGCACGCTGGATCTGGGCTGTTGTAAAGCCCCACTGACCAGTACACGCCCTGCCTGTGCTCTTCAAAAGCCAGCAAGGGTCGACCATTTGGACCATTAGAAATGGTTGGACATGGCCCCGTGCGGTGGCTCACGCATGTAATCCCAGCACTTTGGGAGGCCGAGGTGGGCAGATCACTTGAGGTCAGAAGTTCAAGGCCAGCCTGGCCAACATGGTGAAACCTGTCTCTACTAAAAATACAAAAATTAGCCAGGTGTGGTAGCGGGCATCTGTAGTCCCAGCTACTCAGGTAGCTGAGGCAGAAGAATTGCTTGAACCCAGGAGGCTGAGGTTTTAGTGAGCTGAGATGGCACCACTGCACTCCAGCCCAAGCGACAGAGTGGGACTCTGTCCCTACCCCACCCCCACCAAAAAAAAGAAAGAAATGGATGGCCGGGCTACTCCGGCACACTGCCTGTAGGGTCGTCCTGCTCTGTAAGGGGCAGTACGTAAAAAAGAAAGAAAGAATGTTTTTAACTGGATGGACAGCCCTCGACTTTCTGTTTCTGTCTTTGCATTGGCAGACGTTTCCTTCAGGGTCCACTCAACCCCAGGTTCTTAGGGCTCAGCCAAGGGACAGAAGCCTGTCTGCCACCCAGCGGGACACATGTCCGGGGAGGACATGAATACACGGAGAAGGCGCCAGTTTCCTCCTCCTGCCTCATGTCCAGGCTCGTCAGAGACAGGATCGTGACTGTTTTTGTTTTTGCAAAGTCCCATTGTTCTGCATTTCACTCAGCGTTCAGGACGTGCTGCGCTGCCGCCCGCGCCACAACAAAGCCTTTCTCTTACAAAACAGCCGTCCTCTTGTGGGAGCACAAGGTCAAGGTAGCCACATAGCATCCGTTTCTCTAAAAGAGAATGTGTAAGCCCGAGTGTTGAAAGTTTTAAGAGAGTCTTCAGCTGGGTGCGGTGGCTCAAGCCTGTAATACCAGCACTTTGGGAGGCCGAGGCGGGTGGATCACGAGGTCAAGAGATCAAGACCATCCTGGTCAACATGGTGAAACCCCATCTCTACTAAAAATACAAAAAACTAGCTGGGCGTGGTGGCGCGTGCCTGTAATCCCAGCTACTTAGGAGGCTGAGGCAGGAGAATTGCCTGAGCCCAGGAGGCGGAGGTTGCAGTGAGCCGAGATCGCGCCATTGCACTCCAGCCTGGGTAACAAGAGCGAAACTCCGTCTCAAATTAAAAAAAAAAAAAAAAGAGAGTCTTCAAAGAATAGTGGATTATTTGGTTGGTTTCTTCATCTGGGTGTCCTTCTCCGTCTATAGTAAGATATGGTGATGAATGCACGTGTCCATTCCGGCCCTTTCCAGCAGGGGCCATGTGGTGGGCACACAGGATAGCCTCCTTAATAGACAGCAGCAGAGGCTCCAGAGGGCAGGGATGTGCCCACACTCCCAGCGCCAGAGGCTGGACCTGGCCTCAGCCCCCAGCACACAGTGGTGTGCTCCTCTGGCACCAGCATTCCCTCTCTTGGAGCCCAGATCCTGGTTAAGGCCAGGTCAGGGCCTGCCCCCTGGTTTGAGGGACCTGAGAACTGGGTGGGTAGCGGGGCCTCTGTCTTCTTCCTCCAGGGCCATACATAGCTCATGAGATCTTCAGAGCTGGGGCAGCATGGGGTGTTCATTCAATCCCAAGCAGGCCAAGCCACCTTTTTTTATCTTTTCTGAGACAGAGTGTTACTCTTGTCACCGAGGCTGGAATGTAATGGTGCGATCTTGACTCACTGCAGACTCCGCATCCCAGCTGCAAGCGATTGTCCTGCCTCAGCCTCCCAAGTAGCCAGGACTATAGGTCATGCCACCACAGCTGCCTAATGTTTTGTTTATTTACTTATTTGTTTTAGAGGCAGGGTCTCACTATGTTGCCCAGGCTGGTCTCAAACTCCTGGGCTCAAGCGATCTGCCTGCCTCAGTCTCCCAAAGTGCTGAGATGATAGGCGTGAGCCACCATGCCTGGCCAGGCCATCTTCTGCTGCCTGCAGAGACCTCTTCCAGGATGAAAATTAGAAGCTTTACCTCCCGGATGTTTGCCCCCCGCTCCTCCCTAGGTTTCCAGAACTACTGAGAAGATGAAGGTGGACCTAGAGCAGCATCTGGCCCGGCTCAGTGAGATCCTTGCCGCCCAGGGCGATTACATGCAGACTCTGAAGTTCATACAGCAGATGGCAGGCAGCGTGGTTGCTCAGCTCTCAGGACTGCCCATGTGGAGGGAGGTCACCATGGAGCTGGCCAAGCTGTCCGACCAGACTGGCTACGTGGAGTACTACAGGTGAGGGGCCGGTGGGAGGCAGGGGGAGGGACTGCAGTGTGACATCAGCTTCATTCATCCAAACCTGCATGTTGAGCTCCAGGTGGAGACAGAGTCTCGCTCTGTCGCCCAGGCTGGAGTGCAGTGGTGCGATCTCAGCTCACGGCAACCTCCGCCTCCCAGATTCAAGTGATTCTCCCTCCTCGGCCTCCCAAGTAGCTAGGACTACAGGCGCATGCCACCACGCCCAGCTAATTTTTGTTTTTTTTTTTTGTTTTTTTTTTTTGAGGCGGAGTTTCGCTCTTGTTACCCAGGCTGGAGTGCAATGGTGCGATCTCGGCTCACCGCAACCTCCGCCTCCTGGGTTCAGGCAATTCTCCTGCCTCAGCCTCCTGAGTAGCTGGGATTACAGGCATGAGCCACCATGCCCAGCTAATGTTTTGTATTTTTAGTAGAGACGGGGTTTCACCATGTTGACCAGGATGGTCTCGATCTCTTGACCTCGTGATCCACCCGCCTCGGCCTCCCAAAGTGCTGGGATTACAGGCTTGAGCCACCGCGCCCGGCTAATTTTTGTATTTTTAGTAAAGACGGAGTTTCACCACGTTGGCCAGGCTTGTCTTGAGCTCCTGGCCTCAAGTGATCCACCCGCCTCATCCTCCCAAAGTGTTGGGATTACAGGTGTGAGCCACCACACCCAACCCACCAGAATGTCTTGATAAGCCATTGGCTGAAATCAGAAGAACACGGGAGCTTGCAGGGGCCACGTGGTGTGTATGCAGGATAGCCTCCTTAACAGACAGGCAGCAGAGGCTACAGAGGGCAGGAATGTGCCCAAGCTCCCCATGCCAAAGGCTGGACCTGGCCTCGGCCTCCAGCACACAGTGGGGTGCTTCTCTGGGACCAGCAGTCTTCGTGGCTAGTGCTGGGTGAAACGCCACAAGCTTTATAGGTTCCTCAGTTACCAGATTTATGGGGCAGGATTTCTCATACCACAGACTCAGCCACGAGTACAGGGGGTTGGGGAGATGGTGACCTCTTTGCCTACATAGAGTGCCCAGCCAAGGGTGCTAAGAAGTTTCCATCAGGGGAGGATCTGACCTGCAAGTCACTGTGCTCCTGGGGTCTGGGCCTAGCGTGGAGGAGGCACAGGGAGGAATGAGGTCATGCCCCCAGACTCACTTATTTTTTAAGACAGCGTCTCACTCTGTCACCCGGGCTGGAGTGCAGTGGTATGGTCATGGCTCACTGCTTTCCCACCTCAGCCCCTGAGTAGCTGAGACTGCAGACACACAACTACGCCTGGCTACTTTTAAAAAAATGATTTTAGAAACAGGGGTCTTGCTTTGTTGGCCCAGCTGGTTTCAGACTCCTGGCCTCAAGCAGTCCTCCCACCTCGGCCTCCCAGAGTGCTGGGATTACAGGCGTAAGCCACTGTGCCCAGACCAGCCTCACTTACGTAGAATCAGAGTGATGGGGGCTGAGGGACACGAGCCTCACGTGGGTGTATAAACTCATACCTTCGTCATCTGACCTCTGGGGCTTTGTTTACCTCTCCCCTGCCTTCGCAATCGCCAAACCCCAGCCCAGGCAAAGACACTGGACGCGATCGGCGGAGCAGGGACCTGCTGCCCCTCCCCAGGTGCTGGGTCCAGTGAAGGTCACTCTGGGGAGAGCCCGGGAAGGAGGCAGCAGCCCCGGCCTTTGGATGGGGGCTCCTGGCTGAATAGCGTCGTGGGCTCGTGTTCCCAGGGCCCAGGCCTAGCGTGAAGGAGGCACGCGGGCAGTGGATGAATGAGTCATGAGGAGCGAGGATCAGCTCTTTGGATCCTCCCCGCTCCCTCCATTTGTTGGCTTCTCTTCAAGCCATTGACGAAAGTCAGAGCCCTTAGCTTAGGGTTGCACAAGTTACTCCTGTTTTCTGGATTTGTGTTCCCTTGTGTCATAAAGCCCCTCCCCAAGAGGTCACTGCTGGACTGAGTCCAGGGGCCTCTCCCCTTCCCAAAAATAGGAGATGTCAGGTCCCTGAGCAGAGGGAGCTCATGAAGTCCCCAGCTCTGAGGGTCCTCCCTGCACCTTGCCTCCCCATCCCATCCATCCCCTGCGTCTCCGCCACGTCCTGGATGCTCTGGATTGAGGGGAGCTTGGTCCCACTCCCCAGAAGGTGGATGCTCATGGGCAAAAGTGCCTTCCCCCCAAGGGACAGAAGGACACTGCCAGGTCTCAGGGTGGCCTGTGACCTCCTGTGGACCCAAAACAGGGGTATCCGATGAGTCTCCTGACACGTGGGCCATTCATTGCCTGAGCCTTTGGAATCTTATGTCAGGCAGGGGCGGGGGTACAAAGGTGTCCGTTCTGACCTTGCTGAGCACATCTAGCAGAGGACTGTGTACATTTAAGGGCCTCATGTGGGCGTTTTGATAATGGCACTCAGGGAATAAGTTGGAATTTACATGTCAGAGGCGGCTTATGGTTAAGGCGATTTTATTAAAATAGTGGAAAGATGGTGCCAAGTGCATGTCAGCTATTTCAGCACGGGTGATTGACAGGATCCCCTGTGAGCCCATCCCCTGCTCCCCACTCCTTATTGAGGTTGAGGCAGAAGAGATTTGGCCGGGTGCGGTGGCTCACGCGTGTAATCCCAGCACTGTGGGAGGCTGAGGCGGGCAGATCACCTGAGGCCAGGCATTCAAGACCAGCCTGGGCAACATGGAGAAACCCCATTTCTACTAAAAATGCAAAAATTAGCTGGTGTGATGGTTCATGCCTGTAGTCCCAGCCACTCTGGAGGCTGAGGCAGGAGAATCGCTTGAACCCCGGAGGCAGAGGCTGCAGTGAGCTAAGATTGCACCACTGCACTCCAGCCAGGGCAACAGAGTGAGACTATGTCTTTAAAAAAAAACCCAGCAGAGGTCTAGTCCAGGGTTGGCACCTATGGCTCCTGAATGTCAGTGATGTTCTGCCCCTTCCCTCATCTTTGCTTCCATCTGAGGCTACTCCCCTCACCTCAGCTGCTCTGGAACAAAAGCCCTCCCCAGAAGAGCCCCCGTCTTTGCTTTTGGGATGGTCCTTAAGCATAGCCGTGCAGCAAAGCAAATATTTCCCGGCACTTTTGTGCAAGGCCGGGTGAAGTATTAGAGGAGGTAAACCGCCAAGAGCCTCCTCTCTTTGGGAGGCTACAGTTGGGGGAGAGGGAGCCGGGGCGGGAGTGGCCCTGGCAGGCAGAGCCGAGTTCTGGGTTAGGAATACATCCCCTAGCCCTCGCCCGGCTCCTCTGGGAAAACACATCTGCCTAGAGGAGCTGTTTCCAGGAACCCCTGACAGCAGGAGGCGTGGAGGCAGGGAAGATGCATTTGGTGAATCACAGCCGCAGAGAGTGGGTGAGAGGCACCCCTAACTGGATTTGCTGCTGCTCTGCAGTGCAGAGGCAAGTGGTGAGAAGAAATCTTTAAGTGTGAAACATGAAGTGAGTGTTTTGAGAGGTGTCCTGTGGCTGGCTGTGTCCCTTGCAGCAAGCTTGATGTAGGCAATGTCGAATTCCTGGGCCAGGCTCTCCCCACCATGGCCTTGGTTTTCCAATCTGTAGAATGGGATCCTGGCTGGGCCTCGTGGCTCACGCCTATGATCCCAGCACATTGGGAGGCTGAGGCAGGAAGATCTCTTGAGTCCAGGAGTTTGAGACCAGCCTGGGTAACATAGAGAGACCCAGTCTTGAGAGAGAGAGACAGAGAAAGAGAGAGAGAGAGAGAGAGAGAGAGAGAGAGAGAGTGTGTGTGTGTGTGTGTGTGTGTGTGTGTGTGTGTGTGTGTTCTCTTGAGTCCAGGAGTTTGAGACCAGCCTGGGTAACATAGAGAGACCCGGTATTGAGAGAGAGAGAGAGAGAGAGAGAGAGAGAGAGAGAGTGTGTGTGTGTGTGTGTGTGTGTGTGTGTAAAAATAAGAATGTGACCCAAACACTAGATGGTTTGCAAGGTTCCTTCCAGCTCTGAGCTGAGTCTGAGGAAACTGACTTCTCGGTGGCAGCAGGCTCTGCCCACTCCCCAAAGCCCCCGGCTCCATTCCTGGGAACCCAGAGGCCTAGTATGAGCTGCCCCTGCTCTGTGCAGGGACAAGGACTTTGATTATCCGCTTTTGTTGGCAGCGAGCCTCGATTTGGGGAGTCAGAAAGAACCTCGCTTGGCTGCCAGGGCCTCCAGCTTGCTCCCTCCCCTCGCTCCCTCGGAGCCTCTTTGCCACTCTTCGCCAACTCCGGGGCACTCCCTGCCCATGCTGCAAACTCCTTCTTCCCCTTTGTGGTGTCAGTGAAGCAGAGAACCATAGCTGGAGAGGAGGAGGGGTCAGCAAATTGTACTTGGCTCTTGCATCAAGAGAAATTAGATCCAAATACTTCCCTCTTTGGGGGCTGAGAAGCGCCTGTCTTCGTGCCTTTCTTGCTCTGTCCACTCTCCCGCTGGTGCCCAGCGTGGGGCAGAGGGCATGGCTGCCAGAGGAGACCACCGCTGCCTTGTGAGGACCGCCTTGGGGACCTGCGTGGAAGGGAAAGGAATGGCGGCACTTTGTTTGGGGTCTTCTCGGTGCCCTGGGGCTTCGGGTACTTGGATTCTCCAGCCTGGCCCCTGGAGAAGCAGCATGTTAGGGTTATAGCAAAGCAAGCCCATAGACCCCCTCCCCTGCTAAGCCGAGCTTATAACAAAACAGCCTTAAGCCCTGTAAGCAGCGCACCTAGGTTCCGGGATGTGGTCATACTCGGTTCTCAAACCCAACATGTTAACCCAATTAAGCAGAATGTCAGCCCCTAAAAACCAAAATGTGGTTTTTCTTAAAACAGTACCCGGCTACCCGCAAACCCCCTATATAACCCCCATAGTCTGTAAGCCAGGCCGCTGCCTTCACTGCCTGTGGTGAGCCTGCCTGGCAGGTTAAAATCAACCTGCTGAACCTGACCCTGGGGCTGCCTCTCCATCCTTTCGGTCAGCCGTACACAGGAGGGCAGGGCCTTTCAAGCCCCTGGCTGCCTTGTCCCATCAACCTCTGTATTCAGCATGTGCTTAATCCTTACTCTGGCCCTGTGGGATGAGGGGTTCCAGCTCCCTTTACAGACATGGAAACCAAGGTCCCAAGGGGCGAAGTGGCTTACCAAGCCTCCCCGCTGGGGTGTGACTGCCTTTCCCCATCAGCCCAGCCTCGAGGGCAAAAAGGCCAGAGGAAGGAGGGGCTTGGGGGGGTTTGCAGGGCTGTGGGGCTGTAAGTACCCTGACGCGGCCTCCCAGGCTCCACACTGAGCTCTCTGATGGTCAGAAATGAGCCTACTCACCTGGGTATCCCTGCTGCCAAGCTCAGTGCCTGGCACAAATGTTTAAAATGAACCTACAAGCCTTTTGTTACTGTCGTTTTGGGGATGGAGTCTCACTCTTGTCACCCAGGCTGGAGTGTGCAGTGGCGTGATCTCAGCTCACTGCAACCTCTGCATCCCAGGTTCAAGCAATTCCCCTGCCTCAGCCTCCTGAGTAGCTGGGATTACAGGCGCGCACCACCACACCTGGCTAATTTTTTTAATTTTTTGTAGAGTTAGGGTTTCACCATATCGGCCAGGCTGGTCTTGAACTCCTGACCTCAGGTGATCCACCCACCTCAGCCTCCCAGAATGCTGGGATTATAGGCGAGAGTCACTGTGTCCAGCCTGAACCCAAAAGTCTTAAGTTATGGATCCCAACCAACGAGGGAGCAAGATGGGAGGTCTTGAGGAGCCAGGCTGTGTTTGTCTGAGAAGCAGACACCTTAGGGGCTGTCTTAGATCTGTGGCTACAAACATGAGAACTTGGCTGGTCTGATGTTGTCTGAGAGTTCTAGAGGCAAAGGGAGGTAGGGTCCTAGGAGACGCCTGCTGGGAGGCTGCAGAAAGACACTTCAAAGCTGCGCTGTCCAGGGTGGCAGCCCCACCACGAATGATCTAATTAAAATTATTAAGCGAAGTTTAAAATGTATTTCTTCAGTTGCACAAGCCGTATTTCAAGTTCTCAGTGACCACCTGTGGTAGTGGCAAAGAGGGTGGACAGCAGGGATTTAGTCCTTCGCTGGGGAAAGTTTTAGCACACCGTGCTGGTTTGGACACTCAGCCTGGAGGTGGAGGCAGGAGTGGGAAGTGACAGCTTTGTCCAGGCAGCAGTGAGGGTGCAGCCCCGGAGCCTTCAGCCTATGCATGCCATGTGCGTGCTGGCTCTGGGCAGTGTGTCGTAGTGAAGCGTCCAGTGGCCCTGGGGCTGCCGTGCAGGCCTCCCAGGTGGGCAACAGGTGAGGAGTTCTGCCCTGCTGCCCCTGACGGGCCCTGGCCCTCTACCCAGGTGGCTCTCCTACCTCCTGCTGTTTATCCTGGACCTGGTCATCTGCCTCATGGCTTGCCTGGGACTGGCCAAGCGCTCCAAGTGTCTCCTGGCCTCGTGAGTATTCCTACCCATGGACTTGGGATAAAGAGCTGGGCGAGATGCCATCATCAGAGAGAGACGAGGGCCTAGCCAGCTCGAGTGCGGGGACAACAGCCAGGCTGCCTGAGGCCACCTTCTGCCCTGTCCTCAGCACTCAGCAGAGGCGGGAGACAGCAGCCACCAGCTCACCATCTGGTCACCAAACAAGCAAGCATTAGGCTTTCCTTCTTCTCTGAGCCTGACTCTGCTGAGCAGCTGAGAAACGTGGGCCCACGCATGAGAGCCTCTGGCCATCTTAGCCAACTCGGCCCCCTTGGCCTGGGCTCTTACACCTGGGTCTTTTTATCCCCAGGGACCTGGGCTCCATGGTCCTCCACTCGGCAGTTAGCAGAGCCCACGTCAAGGCAGGGACTGAGGCTGCCTTTGGATCCACTGCAAGGGCTTGGGGGCCAAGGTGGGCGGGAAGAAGACTGGGAGGAAGGGGACCCCCACCTGCCAATCTTGTCGCCTGCCTGTCTCCTAGGATGCTGTGCTGCGGGGCACTGAGCCTGCTCCTCAGCTGGGCGTCCCTGGCCGCTGATGCCGCTGCGGCAGTGGTGAGTTGGGGAGGGGTGGGGGTGGGTAGTGGGTGGTCTGCCAGGATGCTCTGGGGATGTGTCCTGCCTAGAGCCTCCAAGCAGGGCCAGCTTCCGGTCCCAGCTCCTAACCTAGAATCCCAGAATCTCAGAACCAAAGGCACTTGTGTCATCTGAACCGGCCCCTCTCGTTACTGATGGGTAAACAGGCCCAGAGAAAGGAAGAGGCCTGCCCAGGGGCAGAGCCAGGATGAGGCGTCCATGCTTCACATCCAAAGAGACGCGCTGGCCACCCAGGCACGCTTACGCTTAGGCATGCCTGGGTGACCAGGAGCTTCTCTCTAGGTATGAAGAACCGACCAGGTCTCATGAGGATGGGTAGACGCCCGAGTCTCAGACCCGGGAAGCCCTCCCACACCAGAAGCCACTGCTTTGCCGGCTCTCCAGGCCCTGGGACCGTAGAAGGTGGTGTTTGACTTGCCTTCCATCGTCATGCCCTGGGACTCCCAGGGTTGAAGCACACATGCTGTATGTTTCTGGAAGTGGTGCCTGAAAATGGTTTAAAAAAGGAAAAGGTGGGGGCTTCCTCTGTGGGTACACATGGTCGCTAATGGACCTAAGGCTGGCAGTTAGCCGTGTGCATGAGGCTGTTCATTCGCTCAGCTGACAGCATTTGCTGGGTGGCACTCGATGGTACAAGATGCCTGGGGTGCGGAAGCCAAGAGGACATGATGTTTGCTGTTGACAGAGTTCCAGCCTTTGGAAGCAAGACTTGTGGGCAGATCACTGCAACCCCAGGCTTCAATACAGGGGAGGCGCACTGTGTGTGTGGCGGTGTGGGTGTGTGTGGGTGTGTCTGTGTGCGTCTGTGTTCGTGCACACATGTAATAGACAAAAACACAATTTACCAGGGGAATTCAAGGAAGCTCTCTGATTCAAGGGCCACAGACTAACCCCCAGGACATGCAATCTGTCCTGCTCTTAGCGACCTGGGGCTCGATGGGATAAGATGGGGGTGGCTAGAAGCTCCCTAACCAAACTCACGCCTTGCCCAGTGACTTGGGGGCTGGCCACCAGTTCTGGTCGTGGACACAGTCCCCTCAGGGACTCTGGCACTACCTTCGTCAGCAGCGTGTGCAGAAGGGAGAAGAGGGGGTGTCTCCTGTCTTTGGTCCCTGCCACCCCAGTGCAGTGACCACAGGCCAAGGACTGGTAGAGAAAAGGCCCAGGTCATGTTTGAAAGCTTGAGAAGCTGGGAGGGCTGTAAACAGTGCCACTGCTGGCCAGGGTGACGTGCATCCGCTGCCCAGCCTGCAGCCTCCTCTGGGGCCAGGGACACGTGCAAGGGAGCCGCAGGGAGTGCAGGACAAGCTCCTGCAGGGCACAGTCCCACTTTCTGGGCAGCTCTGCCTTCTGGAGGCAGCCGCCCCTCCCAGTGGGGGGCTCCTCCCTCTCACCAGGCTTCGGTGTTCACGAAAACCAGAGGCCATGTAATTTCCCAGCCAGGCGCCCAGCCAGGGGAGCTGGGGAGAAAGGCCATTTCCCTAATTCCTCTAGTCAGGGCCTTGTGTGCAAAAGGGGGGAACGGGGGGGTTGGAGCTGAATGGGCCTTTGATGGGGCTGGAGATGCTGCTGCATTTTAATAGGAAGCCGGGTGAGGAGGAGCCAGGGGGGCGGGGAGGGCAGCCGGCTGTCCCGGGGTTATTGTGGGGAGCTTTTGTGTGGCGTCGCAATGCCACCCTGCTCTCTGAGGCCTGTTTTGACAGCCGTGGGGCCAGAGGACTGACAAGGCCTCCCCTCACCCCCTCCCCCATGAGGACAGAGCACTGCCCGGAGATCTGCGGGTAAGGCAGGAGAGGAGGGTGGGCAGGACTTGACAGCGGAGCTCCGAGCTTCCAGGCCCTGGGGCCACCCCAGTGTCAGCACTGCCAGCCAGGAGGTGCCTGGGGTGAGGGGCTAGAGCAGCCAGCGATGGTGGGAAGCCCTAGAAGAAGGAAGGGGAAGGAAATGGGTTCAGCTGTGAGGGGGGAGGCAAGGGCTGTCACAAGTGCCTTGGCCACCGAGCACGGAACAGAGAGTTCCGGGGGACTGCTCCAGCCGAGGGGCAGCCAGGCCTTTCCCTGAGTCAGAGGGTAGGAGTGTGGCCTCTGGAGCCACCCTGCCCGTGCCCACATCCTCCCTTCACCCCTTCCCGGCAGTGGAACCCTGAGAAAGCTACTGGGGCTCTCTGTGCCTCAGTTTCCTCCTAGGCAAGTAGGGAAGATAGCAAGACTTACCTCAAAGGGCTGTTGGTAGGAAAAGGTGAGTGGGTTAATCCTGGGCGGCACACAGAAAATGTCCAGTAAACAGTGGCCACCGCTGGTTTCCTGTGTATTCAGCATCATCATGGTAGGGTCACGGGGGCTGCTTCAGGCCCTCACCTCTGTTCTCAGGAGCTGCCTGCAGGCTCAGCCATCACCTGGGCTGGTTACCGGGCAGCCTCTCCTACCTGCTCCAGCTGTGTTCAGTGCTTTCTTCCTGTCCCCTCCTGCCGCCTTCATCACCGTGGCTTGAGTGATGCACACGTGTGTTGTTTTCACGCTGCTGATAAAGACATACCCAAGACTGCGCAATTTACAAAAGAAAGAGCTTTAAGAGGACTTCCAGTTCCACATGGCCAGGGCAGCCTCACCATCGTGGCGGAAGACAAGGAGGAACAAGTCACGTCTTACATGGATGGCAGCAGGCAAAGAGAGAACTTGTGCAGAGAAACTCCCATTTTAAAAACCACCAGATTGACCAGGCACGGTGGCTCCCACCTGTCATCTGAGCACTTTGGGAGGCCCAGCGGGGTGGATCATCTGACGGTCAGGAGGTCAACACCAGCCTGATCAATGAGGGAACCTCCTCTCTACTAAAAATATAAAATTAGCCAGGCATAGTGGAGCATGCCTGCAGTCTCAGCTACTCAGGAGTTGGAGGTTGCCGTGAGCCGAGATCACACTACTGCCCTCCAGCCTGGGCAACAGAGCAAGACTCTGTCTCAAAAAAAAAAAAAAAAAAAAAACCATCAGAGCTTGTGAGACTTACTGTCACAAGACAGTGTGGGAAAGACTTTCCCCGATGATTCAGCTACCTCCCACCAGATCCCTCCCACAACACGTGGGAATTCAAGATGAGATTTGGGTGGGGACACAGCCAACCCATACCAGCATGCACACACACACAACTGCATATCACACATGTGATGCACACACACACAACTGCATATCACACATGTGATGCACACACACAACTGCATATCATACATGTGATGCACAAACACACTGCTGCTTGTCTTCACAGGGGAGTTGACTCCTTGCTGAGTCCCACACTCCAAGCCATCCTATGCACCTGCCCCAGGGATGGAGGCTCCAGTGGGGCTGAGGGGCGTGAAGAACAGGCCTGGCCTGGGAGGGGACGGAGGGAGGCAGGAAGACGATGTCACTGTGGAGCCTTGGACCAGGGCTTCCTGTCCCTCTCCTTTCTTGGTTCTCAAACTTCTTGGGGTGACCCAAACTGAGATGGTGCCCTCACTTTTAGTTTCCCAAGCCTTCCCCATCCTCCACTTGGGCCCGGCTGCCCTCTCTCTGCCACTCCAGCCGGGGGGTGGAGGCACAGCACCAGGCCTGCTGGCACTGCAGCTCTGATAGGTAATAATAGGCCAGGTTGATGTATTATGAATGCTAGTGGTTTGTATAAAGCATTTCTCCCAGGGTCTTAAGTGCATTTAAGTGCGTGCTTGTGTGTGTGTGTGTGTGTGTGTGTGTGTCCCTGCATGCATGCACATGGGGCTCTGGGGAAGCTCTGTCTCTAGAGGGGTATGTTATTCCCCACCCTCACTATACACACATTTTCTAGACTGTAAGTGCCGTGATGCACTTACCTCTAGGTGTTAGAACCCTGCACAGCACCGAGTAAGTGTTCCATAAATGTCTATCAACTTAACAAGTGGGTGAGTGATGCTCCATCGTGGACCCCAGAGGCAGTGGCTCCTGAAGGAGGATGGGGCCACCGGCAGAACAGGGCACTCAGAGGGGTCCCCTGCCCAGGGAGCATGCTCCAGAAAAAGGGGAGACCCCTAGGAACAGGCCAGGGGACCGGAGCTCTCCCTGGCTGCTCTGAAAGGCAGAGGCCCCCCTTTATTCAGTCCCCAGAGCACCCCGGGCCAGATCTGGGGTGGGCCTGGCTTGGAGGCCGTGTCCTTGCTGCCGCCTCTCCTGGGGCCCGTGTCTATTCCCACCCTGCTGCATGGGCCTTAGCAATCACCTAGCCAGGCCGTGCTACGGGCCAGCTCCTCCAGCTCGTAAGTGGCAGCCGCATCTCAGCCCCATCTCAGCCCGGTGCCCTTGCCACCCCGTGTCTTGGCAGGTGAAGGCCTGCACCCAAGGCTCACACATGCTTCAGCACCAACCTTAGTCTTTAAAAAGAGTTCAAGTCAGGCAGCGGTGGCTCAAGCCTGTAATCTCCGCACTTTGGGAGGCTGAGGCGGGTGAATCACGAGGTCAAGAGATCGAGACCATCCTGGTCAACATGATGAAACCCCGTCTCTACTAAAAATACAAAAAAATTAGCTGGGCATGGTGGCGGGTGCCTGTAATCCCAGCTACTCAGGAGGCTGAGGCAGGAGAATTGCCTGAACCCAGGAGGCGGAGGTTGCGGTGAGCCGAGATCGCGCCATTGCACTCCAGCCTGGGTAACAAGAGCGAAACTCCGTCTCAAAAAAAAAAAGAGTTCAGGGGCGCCTTCCTAGATCGCCCACCAGTGCCTGTGGGATTTGATGGTAGCAAGACAAAACATTAAAGCAGACATGAGCAAATGGGGCCATGGTGTGATGAACTCCCTTACACACAACCTGCAGCTGCCCTGGGGCCCAGGATGCTGGCCCACAGGGTCTGTCCCAGAAGAGGCGTTAGGAAGTAAGAGAAACCGTTAGCATGCTCTTTGCCCCAGTCGCTTTTCTGAACACTACGGGCATTGGGTGAACAGCATCATCCCCATGTCACAGATGAGGTAGCTGGGGCACAGGAAAAATAAATAACTTGTCCAAGGTAACAGCTAGGAAGGGGCAGAGCCAGGTTGGAACCCAGGAGGCTGGCTCCAGACTCTGCTCTTTGCCATCTGGAAGGGAACTCGAGGGGCTGGGGTGCTGGGCTCCTGGCTCCTCTCAGGGACCCGATGTCCTGGTGTCTGACTTTCTTCCACCCTGTCCCTCTCTCCCTGACCCAGGGCACCAGTGACTTCTGTGTGGCTCCTGACACCTTCATCCTAAACATCACGGAGGGTCAGATCAGCACAGGTAACACTCTCGGGCCACTACTGTGGATGCGTGGGTGGCTGGGCGGTGTGCCCCTACCTACCTCTTTCAACCCTGTAGCCATCCAACCCCTCGTCAGCCCTGAACTTCAAGTCCAGCTCATGCTCTGGGCCATTTCCTAGAAAATGCCTCCCTTGGGAGCTTGGGGACAGGGAGGGAGGTCTGCTTGGCCGCCAAGGATGTTAGAGATCTCATCTGATCATTTGTGAGCTGCCTAACGCCATGCTGTTGACCTGCAGAGGTGACTCGCTACTACCTGTATTGTAGCCAGAGTGGAAGCAGCCCCTTCCAGCAGGTATGGCCCCTCACCCTGCCCTCAAGCCGCTCCATCAGCTCGTTCCCTTTTGACCCTAAGCCCTACCACTCAGCAGGACAGCGGAGGTGGTGGGACCTTCCCTACTTCACCATGGTCCTCTCCTTAGCTGCTTCTGTGAAGGGGACCGTGCTCTTGGTCATGGGTTCTGGATCGGTGGTTAACGTGTACGCAGCTCCGTGGGGAGCTGGTTCCCATGCAGATGCCATACAGGAGCTCTGGGGTGGGGCCGAGATTCTGCGCTTGTCACAAGCTCCCAGGCAAGGCCAGGGCTGCTGGTCCGAGGACCACATCTGAGCTGCAAGCCGGGAGAAGACTGTGCAACTCTCAAGAAGCCAGAGGGATGCGGGGAGCTTTCCTGCAAGTGTGTGCAACTCTTAAGAAGCCAGAGGGATGGGGGAAGCCTTCCTGCAAGTGGAAGGGCCTGTGCAGCTGTAGCCAAGTGAGAGGGACAGGAGCACAGGCCGCTAGGCCGCCCGTGGGGCTCCTGGGAGATGGAGCCTCACTGCGGGGCTGTGTCTCTCCTGGCGCAGACACTGACCACCTTCCAGCGCGCGCTCACCACCATGCAGATTCAAATCGAAGGGCTGCTGCAGTTTGCCGTGCCCCTCTTCCCCACCGCAGAGGTAAGGCAGCTGGGCAGGAACTGGGGAGCCCCAGATGAGCCCTGACCACCCTCTCCCCTGCCCCAGCCCCAGGGCCAGGCTGTGCACAGCTGGCTGCTGGCTCTCTGCGCTCCCTCCCCTTGACTCGGCTCCCTTCCTGGGCTCTAGAGGCCCCTGAGCACAGCTGCTGTGATTTTCTTCGTCAGTTCTCCCCCACAGCCCCTTCGCCTCTCTTTCTCTTCCCACTTCAGAAAGACCTGCTTGCAATCCAGCTCCTGCTGAACTCCTCGGAGTCCAGCCTCCACCAGCTGACTGCCATGTTGGACTGCCGAGGGCTGCACAAGGTGCTGGGGGCCCTGGGGGCACGTGGAGAGGGTGAGGGCACCCAGCAGGCCTCTTCCAGAGAGAAGCCAGTGGAGGCCGAGGAGAGCAATGGCCTGGACCCCGTTCAGGCCCAGGAAGGGAGCTGAAGCCAGACAGTGGGAAGGGAGGGGTGCCTGGCCTCTCTCCAGGGCCTGAGACAGGGAAACTCAGTACAGGGGCCCAGGGGTCAGGGATGGGAGGGTTGGATCTGGTTGGCCCTGGGTCACTGCGGGGGACCCTGACCAATACGAAGGAGGCTGTTCCCCGTTGTCCAGACTCCTGGCCATTTGGTCAACACATCTGTCTCCCTGGGTTGCAAGTGGATGTCAGAGTCATCCCTCCAGGAACTTGGAATATCAGACAGACACAATGATGCAGAGACACATTGGGAGCACGTGACAGCCCCCCACCCCCAAGCAGTGAGCCAGGGTATGGCGACAGCCTTCATATCCCGTATGGATTTCCTCGGCATCATGGCTGTCAGCTCTACGCTTGGACCTGTTCTGTGCATTTTATATCCAGGATGTCATTGAGTCCTCACTGTTAACACTGTGAAACACATGCTGTTTCCTGGGAAATTTACATATATGTGTGTGGATGGACAGATGCATAGATACAGCTATTCTGTGTGTGTGCTGTGTGGGTGTGCATTTGTGTGTGTGTGTGTGTGTGTGTGGTGTATGTCTGTAAGTGGGTACATGTGTGTGTGGTATGCATGTGTGGTAGTGTGTGCTGGTGTGTTGTACACACGTGTGTACATATGTGGTATGTGCATGTGTGTGGTCGTGTGTGTGCATAGGGGAAGTGCGTGTGGCAAGCATGCACGCGCGCATGCGCGCGTGTGTGTGTGTGTGTAAAGTGGCTTACCGAAGAGTCCTTAGCTGGCACCTCAGGGGCTTGCGTTTGTAGATCCTGGTAGTCTGACCTCAGAGCTAAGAACGTGGCAGGCACCCCCGTCTCTTCTCTCCTTCCCCTTCTGCATCTAATCCCCAGCAAGTCTTGGCAGCTGTCCTCTCAGCTGTACCCTGAATCCATTTTTCTCTCTCCCTGGCTTCCACCATGGTCAGGTCCTGCTCCTGCAGCAGACAGTGGCCTCCTCCCACTCTCTCTTGCCCCCTCATCACCCGTGAGCTTTCACACTTGCAGCCAGAGCAGTCCTTTTGCAAAATAGACTGGATCACATCCCTTCCATTCCCAAACCCTCCCATGTCTTTCTGACCCTTTTAGAAGTCGGCACTCCTCTCCTGCACGGCAAGGCCCAGCATGGCCCAGCCCCTCCAGCCTCATCTCCTGCCGGCCTGTGTTCCCTCTCTTTCCTGAACAGGCCAAGTCTGCCCCCTCTGCCCGCTCTTTTCAAGGGGTGCTGCTTCTTGCCCTGCTGGCCTCAGCTTCAGCGGCCCCTGTCTCAGTTCCCCACCCTGCAGCCTCATCTGTTCTGTTCAGAGCCAGCTTCTCAGTGCCTAGCACACAGTAGGTGCTCAGCAAATGTTTGCAGAATGAACCCAAGAAGCCTGTTGTGTTAGGCTCCAGAGTGTGGACCCTTAATGGCACTATAAGGTGCTCAGGATGGGAAGCAGCCAGGAGACCCCAGGTCCAGGCTTTGCCCTGACTCCTCACCAGCTGTGTGTCCCTCCTCTTCCTCCAGGACTACCTGGACGCCCTTACCGGCGTCTGCTACGATGGCCTTCAGGGCCTACTCTACCTCGGCCTCTTCTCCCTCCTGGCTGCCCTCGCCTTCTCCATCATGATCTGCGCGGGCCCAAGGGCCTGGAAACACTTCACCACCAGGTGGGTTGCCCAGTGAGGAGACCACCAGCTGTGGGTCTCCTGGGAGGGCAGCAGGCAGGGCGCTCTGCTCTGCACTCGAGCTGACAGCCCAGAACTGAGGGTCATCAGAGGGCCCAGGCGGTCAGCACAGCAGGCTCTCTGACTTCTACAGAAACTTCCCCAAGAGTCCAGACAGACTCTGCAAAGGAGTTTGGTGAGACCCAGAGCAGGAGCTGGGCCCAGGGTGGTGACAACCCTCAGGCCACAGCCTGGCCTCCCTTCTCCTCTCTTCTTACCCGGACTTGCGATCTGGAGTGAGGAAAGTTCCTGGTGCTGGGAGGGGCGCCCCGGGGATACCAAGAAGGATACATGGTGTCACTGTTACCGGGGAACCTGCAGTCCCCTTGACGAGATGGACAGGGACAAGACTGTGTGTAGACACCTCATGGGCAAGAGGACGCAGGGTAGGGAGGACCCACGTGCGCACGGTCAGCATGGTGGGGAGCCCGGAAGAGCTGATCGTGAAGTTGGGAGTGGGCCAGAATGGTCTGCAGGCGGCAGGGCTGGCGACCATGCTTTAGAGGACTCTCAAGGAGGCACGCGTGGCCGGAGAGAGTCCTGGGAGGGAAGGCAGGGAAGCAGGACAGCACCCGGCTGCCTCGGAGCCTCCTTCACCCTTCACAGCTGGCCAACTTCTACCTGTTGTTCTAGAAACAGAGACTACAACGACATTGATGATGATGACCCCTTTAACCCCCAAGCCTGGCGCATGGCGGCCCACAATCCCCTGAGGGGGCAGCTTCACAGCTTCTGCAGCTACAGCAGCGGCCTGGGCAGCCAAACCAGCCTGCAGCCCCCGGCTCAGACCATCTCCAACGCCCCCGTCTCCGAGTACATGTATGGGCTGCACACACTACCCAGACAGCATGTGGGGGCCTACAACACCGGCGGGGAGGGGGAGGAAGGCCCCCCAAGACCGCCCATGGACCCCATTACAGCCACTGGGTGTCTGGAGGGAAGGCCCTGGGGAGCATCTGGTCACCCCTCCACATCCACATGTGCTGGAGGCAGATCCACGGATGTCGGGCAGCAGCCTCTACCACAAGCTGGTGGGACGGTCCCCAGGCCTGAGAAGCTACATGTCTCCAGGCCACGCTGCTCCTAGCTGCTGTTACCCATCAGCCACTTGTCCTCAGGCTTCCCAAGGCACTTATCCATGTCTGCCCACCACACCCCCTCCACTCTATCTGTGGTCCGGTTCCATCCCTCCACTCCCATATGCTCACCCATGGAGCCCTCCTGTAGAAATCTACACACACCCCCACTCCCACGCCGTCCCCTCCTGAGCTCTCCTCTCATCCCTGCAGGAACCAAGCCATGCTCTTTGGTAGGAACCCACGCTACGAGAATGTGCCGCTCATCGGGAGAGCCTCCCCTCCGCCTACGGTAATTAGGGCCCTGGCCCTTCCTTGTCGGGGTAACACATAAACAGAAAACCAGCCAACCCAGTGAATCCTCTCCACAAAGGCAGAAAAGAATAAAACAGTTCTGTTCTTGAGTAAGCACTAAACCAGACCGTCATGGGTATCCCAGGCAGTCCGCTAAGGAGATTGCAAAGACGCAAGAAATCTCACTCCTTCCCCTGGCCGGGTGGCAACATGACACAGCTCACTGCGTACCTGTCATCCAGCAAGATGACTCGATGGCACTGTTTGTCACAGTAGTACACCAAAACCCACTAATTGGGGTGGCCATTCTGGCCAGGTAATTGCCTTTGTTTATTTTTTGAGATGGAATTTCGCTCTGTTGCCCAGGCTGGAGTGCAGTGGTGCAGTATCGGCTTACTGCAACCGGGGTTTCAAGCAGTTCTCCTGCCTCAGCCTCCCAAGTAGGTGGGATTACAGGTGTGCACCACCATGCCCAGCTGATTTTTGGATTTTTAGTAGAGACGGGGTTTCACCATGTTGGCCAGGCTGGTCTTGAACTCCTGACTTAAGTGATCCGCCTACCTCAGCCTCCCAAAGTGCTGGGATTTCAGGCATGAGCCACCGCACCCAGCCAGCTAATTGCCTTTATCCAGAGTAAAAATAAAACTATTTCCATGATAATCAGATAGCTCCAGCTTGGAGCCAGGCCCGCAGGTGAACTGTCCCTGAGGAGAGGAGCTGCTGTCCTCCCGATGTCCTGCTTCCAAGAGATGGCTCCCAGACCTAAGAAACATCCCGATTGTAACACTGGCAAGGCCACAGTCAGCCTTTAAGAGGGTTTGCGCACATCTCAAAAGACAGAAATTATTTACAATGATAAGTTTTCTTTTTTTTTTTTGAGACAGAGTTTCGCTCTTGTTACCCAGGCTGGAGTTCAATGACACGATCCCGGCTCACCGCAACCTCCGCCTCCTGGGTTCAGGCAATTCTCCTGCCTCAGCCTCCTGAGTAGCTGGGATTACAGGCACGTGCCACCATGCCCAGCTAATTTTTTGTATTTTTAGTAGAGACGGGGTTTCACCATGTTGACCAGGATGGTCTCGATCTCCTGACCTCGTGATCCACCCGCCTCGGCCTCCCAAAGTGCTGGGATTACAGGCTTGAGCCACCGCGCCCGGCCTACAATGATAAGTTTTCTAAAGGAAATATTCCAAGAAGAGAGGGGGCCTCTTTTCCTTTTTGCATCAGAGAAAACTAAGGACATGTTTTTCTCTTTAGATGTCTGTTTACCTTAACCCTTAGTCTCCCCAGGGCTGGAGGGTGGGTTGGCTGCGGTGGTGGGTCTGGGAGGGCTGAACCCGGACACAGCCTTCCGCAGTCCATCTCACTTCCCCATTTCCCTAGGACTGTGCCCAAGTGGGGTCTGTGCCTCTTGTCCACCTACCACCTCCAGCCTGCATACCTGAGATGCAGCCTCAGGGGAGGAGCTGAGGGGACGAGGGGACGAGGGGTGGGCAGGTTAAGAAGAAAAGACCCTGCTGTCTCATCACAGAGAAGTATCCAAAGGACACGGAAATACTGACTGAGACAGAGCTGCAGACAGTGAATTGACTGTCAAGGGTCAGGGACACAGACTCCCATGCCAAATGCCTGAGTTCAAATCCCAGCTAATCGCTTATGGTCTCTGTGGCTTTGGACAAGCACTCTGTCTCTCTCTGCCTCAGTTTCCCCAGCTGTCAAATGGATATGGGGATACTAGCACATACTTCATGGGACGGATTCATTGTTATCAAAGCGCACATGTGAAGTACACAGTACATGCCACAGGACAGTGAGCTATTGCTATTTTTTCTTCCACCCCACCTTCTCTACAGAGCTGTGGCATTTGTTATTTTTTTTTTTATTATTTTTATTTTTGAGACAGAGTCTCGCTCTTTTGCCCAGGCTGGAGTGCAGTGGCGCAATCTCAGCTCACTACAACCTCCACCTCTGGCTTTAAGCGATTCTCCTGCCTCAGCCTCCTGACTATCTGGGATTACAGGTATGTGCCACCATGCCTGGATAATTTTTGTATTTTTAGTAGAAACGGGGTTTCATCAGGCTGATCTCGAACTCCTGACCTCAGATGATCCACCCACCTTGGCCTCTCAAAGTGCTGGATTACAGGTGTGAGCCACTGCACCCCGCCAGAGCTGTGGTATTTATAAGAAGGGACAAGGGAAATCAAAGACAGCCCAGAAGTCTGCTACGGGATGGGCGGAAGGGTTCTGGAGCCAGGTGTCTGCCTTCATCGGGCCAGGCAAGGCATTTCACTGTCCCTCCCCAGGTAGTTTGGAAGGGTACGTCCAACAGGAAAACAGAAGCACTGGAGCCCGAGTACCTGGGACCAGCATGATAGGCCTGGGCCCTGCAGACCCGGGAGCTGCTCGCACAGGCACCCAGGGAGTCAGCTTCCCGGTCATGGCGCTTGGTGAAAATCATAGTGTCAGATGCAGGAGAAGAGCAAGTGGAACCCGGTGCCTGTCTTCAGGAAGTTCCACTCTATAGAAGGGGCACTGGAGAAGGCTACCTGTAGAAAGTGCCACAAGATACTTTGGGACCAGAAAGAAGGAACTCTTCTTCTTGCTGCTCTAGAGGATTCCAGAAAGTTCTACTTAAGAGGTGGCATTTGAACCACAGTGTAGAGCAGGGGATCACTCAGGAGCAATTTTCCCCCCAGGGGACATTTGGCAATGTCTGGAGACTTGGTCCTCACCTCACTTGGGGGCTGGGGATGGGGGCTGGATGCTGTCGGCCTCAAGTGCGTGGAGCTCCCACCACAAAGCCTGGTGCACCCCGAATGTCCACAGGTTATGGGGCCTGGCCTCTGCGTGTGGGATGTTTAGCAGCATCCCTGGCCTCTGCCCGCTGCAAAGCCTGCCGGAACCAGTCCCCCGTCATTCACTCCTGTGCCACCACCTTGGCGCCTTTGCGCGGAGCATCACCTGCTGTCCCTTGCCCGCAGCTTTGCAAACACAAGCCCCAGCCTTATTTTGTTCCTTCTTCCCGGGGTCCTCGGGAGTGAGTTGGTTGAACCTGTATTCAAAGTCAGCACCATTTATTTTCTTTTTTGAGACAGAGTCTCGCTCTGTCACCCAGGATAGAGTATAGTGGTGCAATCTCAGCTCACTGCATCCTCCACCTCCCGAGTCAAAGCAGTTCTCCTGCCTCAGCCTCCCGAGTAGCTGGGATTACAGGCATGTACCACCACACTCTGCTAATTTTTGTATTTTTAGTAGAGATGGGGTTTCACCATGCAGGCCAGGCTGGTCTTGAACTCCTGGCCTCAAGTGATCTGCCTGCCTCGGCCCCCGCAAAGTGCTGAGTTACAGGCATGAGCCACTGTGCCCGGTCTAAAAGTCAGCACCTTTTAAATCCCAACCTAGTTTCTCTCACTAATCAGAAGCCTCCTGGCTTCCTTTTTCCAACCACCAGCTGCTGTGGCCCCAGGAATGCAGAATGACCTTAATATTAATTTAAGCACAACATAATTAGGGGAAATCTGCTGTGAAAAAAGGATTACTCTATGCATTGTGATGCCAAATAAAAATGATTTTTGGATTACCTTCTGTTTGAAAGATCCAGGCCACTCGTCCTGCCATTAGTAGAGATAATCAAGAACTGACCTTATTTGCAAGGCTCAAGGACAGGAAAAACCTTCCCCCCTAGATTTAAGACCTGCCTAGAAATGCTTAGTGCTATGGCCAAGTTGACCTAGCCCAGTCCCACCCAGCTCAGCCTGCCCCGGGGAGACCCACCTCCAGCAAGGGACCTAGAGTGACATGTAATGATGCTGCTGACCAAGGAACCCCATGGCGTGGAGGGTGTGGGTGTCTGCCCAGTAAAGACAGCACAGCTGGCTGCGCCCCACCCCTTCCCAGGGTGCCTGCTCTAAATATTCCTCAGCACCTAGCAAGTTCAAGAGGTGGATAAATTCCTCCCTCTGACAAGCGCCCTCTCTGGGACAGTCAGGGCATCTCACTGGGTGGGTGACTTCACACCTGGTGATCCGGATATACTGCCTGTCCCTTGCTGGAAGTGTGTCTTTCCCCAGCTCTGCCTTCAAGGAATCATCTCTTCTGTCCGTCTGGGCATTGTTTCCTGGATTTGAGGAACAAAAATGACCCAGGGCAATTGTTAAAAATACTGACGTTGAGACTTCTCTTCAGACTTACAGAAACAGAATCTCTTGAGGAAGGAGCCTGGGGGATTTTAAGTTTAACAAACTTATTATCATTCAAGTTCCGGAAAACTGCTTTGAGAAGGAGGGTCTTGGCCAGTGCAGTAGCTCATGCCGGTAATCCCAACACTTTGGGAAGTCTTGGCAGGCGGATCACTTGAGGCCAGGAGCTTGAGACCAGGCTGGCCAACATGGTAAAACCCCATCTTTACTAAAAATACAAAATTTATCCAGGCTTGGTGGCAGATGCCCCATTTCCATTAAAAATACAAAAATTTAGCCAGCCATGGTGGTGGGTGTCTGTAATCCCAGCTACTCGGGAGGCTGAGGCAGGAGAATCACTTGGACCCAGGAGGCAGAGGTTGCAGTGAGCCGAGATGGTGCCACTGCACTCCAGCCTAGGTGACAGAGTGAGACTCTGTCTTAAAAAAAATAAAAAAAGGAGGCTCTGATATTTGCATGGGCAACAGAATTGCCTGAGGGACCCACCCCATTTTTGATTCAGAAAATCTGGGTTGGAGCCTGGAGATGTGCTTTTTTTTTTTTTTTTTTTTTCCTTTGAGACACAGTTTCGCTCTCATTGCCCAGGCTGGAGTGCAGTAGCACGATCTCAGCTCACTGCAACCTCCACCTCCCAGGTTCAAGCGATTCTCCTGAATCAGCCTCCCGAGTAGCTGGGATTACTGGCACCCACCACCATGCCTGGCTAATTTTTTGTATTTTTAATGGAAACAGGGTTTCACCATGTTGGCCAGGCTAGTCTCAAACTCCTGACCTCAGGCGATCCACCTTCCTTGGCCTCCCAAAGTGCTGGGATTACAGGCGTGAGCCCCCGCGCCTGGCCAGAGATGTGCATCTAACATTCTTAGGTAAAGCTGCTGCTGCTGCTCTGGAGACCGTGCTTAGAGAACCACTGCTCCGAGGCCAGCTTCTTCAGTCTCAGTGCTTTTGACGGGCAGCGTCATTCTCGGTGGGGGGATTCCTGTGCATTGCAGCATGTCCAGCAGCGCCCCTGGCCTCATGCCAGTAACACCCCAGCCCCCAGCTGTGACAACCAGAATGTATCCAGACATTGCCTAATGCCCCTGGGAGGCAAAAACACCCCTGCTTGAGACCCACTGGGTGCAGAGCCTCATGCTCCCTCTTCCCCCACCCCACCCCAGGTGGAAGCATTCAGCTCCCCCTGATGTGAATGACCTGGATCCCTGAAGCTTCCCTGGTTCAGGAGAGTGGCAGGTTCTGGAAGTTTGTTAGAAGGGTAGAATCTCAGGTCCTGTGAACATGATCCCCAGGTGGCCTGTGTGCAGGGTATGAAGTGAGAGGCTGGCCGGGGGTGGTGGCTCACACTTGCAATCCCAGCACTTTGGGAGGCCGAGGCGGGCAGATCACAAGGTCAGGAGACCGAGACCATCCTGCCCAGCGTGGTGACACCCTGTCTCTACTAAAATTACAAAAATATTAGCCGGACATGGTGGCACACACCTGTACCAGCTACTCAGAAGACAGACAGGAGCATCGCTTGAACCCAGGAGAGGGAGGTTGTAGTGAACTGAGATTACGCCACTGAACTCCAGCCTGGCGACACAGCAAGGCTCTGTCTCAAAAAAAAAAAAAAAAAAAAAAAAGTGAGAGTCCCTCTCCACTGCCAAGGACGAGTGACTAAGGTCTGTCGAGCACCTTCTCTGTACTGGGTCACTGCCCCTCCAGCTCGAATGCACACTGGAATTTTCTAAAGATCACTAAAAAACAGTGGTGGCTCTTTAAAATGCCTAGTTTTACGTTATGTCCATTGTCTTTTTTATTTGGAGACAGGGTCTCGCTGTGTTGCCCAGGCTGGAGTGTAGCGGTTGACCTTAGCTTGCTGTAACCTCCACATCCTGGGCTCAAGTACCTCCTCCTCCTCCTGCCTCAGCCTCCTGAGAGGCTCGAACTACAGGTGCATGCCACCACGCCCAGCTAATATTTTGTATTTTTTATAGAGACGGAGTTTTGCCATGTTGCCCAGGCTAGTCTCAAACTCCTGGGCTCAAGAGATCCTCCTGCCTCTGTCTCCTAAAGTGCTGGGATTACAGGTATGCGTCACCACCGTTATGTGTATTTTGCATCAATAAAAATATACATATTTATATCCTGGTAGGTATGGCCTGGGCCTCAGGATGTTTTTAAGCTCCCCAGGTATTTCTGAAGAGCAGCCCAGTTTGAGGGCAGCCGTGTTAGGGCTCCTGCCTGCTCCTTATCATTTCACCCTTTCACTGTAAGAGCTGAGCACTCTTAGGTCCACACCGCAGGTAGGAAAACTGGCTAGGAGAGGCTGGAGAAGCTACGCCAGGGTCACAGGGTAAGATACGCAGCTGGGATTTGAACCTGCATCTCTGAGTCTCTGGGCCCCTACCCCCAGCCTGCTGGCTGCTGACTGCTTCTCCATGTGCTGCCGCACCCTGATGCTGTCCCCAGTCTGAGGGGACAGGCTGGGTGCTGGGGGTGTGTGCTGGGGCGGAGTAGACATCGGAGGACAGCTGGTCTGTGTGTACCTTTTTTATTTCAGGCTGGGAGTCAGATGTCCTGATGGATGCGGGGTGGGGGCATGGCCAGGTTTCCCCCATTCCCTAAGACACCCAGCCCAGTTCCACTCTGAGAAGTCCCCAGAATCTTTGCTGGTGCAATGCCCAGTTGACCCGGCTCTGACCGCCCCCCCCTTCTCTCTTGGCAGTACTCTCCCAGCATGAGGGCCACCTACCTGTCTGTGGCGGACGAGCACCTGAGGCACTACGGGAATCAGTTTCCAGCCTAACACACTTTCAGGGCTTCCTGCCTCCTTTTTCCGTTTTGGTTTTTAATTAATGCAAACACAGGCTGCGTTTCTTTCATAGAAGCCAAAGGCATCTGGAGCCCAAGAGGCCTCCTGCTGTGGCAGAGGAGCAGCTGGGATCCCCGACCAAAGCCCCACGGGGGCAGAAGACCCGCCACGCAGGCCAGCCTCTCTCTTCTGCCCTGCTCTCCACACCAGAAACGCTCCCAGGTGCTTGGCTGCCTCGGAGGCGCCATCCCTCAGCTGGCTGCCTGGCCCTGCTCACCCCTCCGTCTCGCCCTCGCCAGGAGGGGAGTGGCCGTGAGGAGTGGGCCAGGTCAGACGCCACCATCGGAGAGCTGTATGTTCTCTCCTGTCCCACAACCATGACTCTGCCTCTTGTCAGCACGGCCGAGGGCCCAGACGACCCCTCTCAGAGTCACATAAGTCCTCCGTTCCCTGCAGGTAACACTGAGAAGGGCTGATCAGGAGATGCTCTTTAAGAAAGACGCACCCGATGAGACCAGAACAGCCCAAATCAGAGTTCCCAGGGCCAGACAGGCTCCTCCTGGGCCATAGAGGGGAGGTGTCAGGAGAGGTCTGCAGTGGGGGACAGTGGCTCCGGGGCTGGGGGTCACAGCCTGGTGGACCCTGGCCGGAACAGAGGTGAGAGCTGCATCCCACCTGTCTCCCTAACCCTCCATCACCTCGCCTCTATTCCGGAATCAGTGCTGCAGACGCGTTAGCTGCAGATAGGCTCAGTCTCAGGTATGAACAGACACTTTGAAACGACTTCCTTTCTCTTCTCCAGTGTTTTAAACATGTTGATTATCCAAAGAATTGAAACTCCTAGCACCTCCAGTTTTTACAACCGATTTGCAGCTCATGCCTCCCCCTGGTTTTTAGGTCACTACTTTCGCAGATTTTGCTAGCCCCGGCCAGTTCTCCAGATCTGGAGGAGAGGGGAAAGGAGCCGATTCTTAAATAAAATAAGGATCAGTGAGACATCCTGTCCCAAGCTGCCGTTTGATGGGGATCTGGGTTCATCTCACCCACGGAGGGAGGATCTTTAAGAGGAGAGAAAAGCCAAGATGGAGAGCCGGAGATCCCCGCTCTAGCGGACTAGCCAAATGCCATCAGCGGTCCCCTCCTTTTGTCTCCAAGCAAGTTTGCCAGAAAAGGTTTTAGCAAAGTGGTACCACTGTGTCTTCATGGGAGGATAGGCCTCTGCCCTGCCTCCCCCAGCACCTGCCCCTCCCGGCGTCCTGGGCCCTGGCCTGCTCAGCCACAGGAGCTTGTTGGCCAGGAGGGAATAATGTCCCCCAGTCCTCCCTGTTGGGGGGGCCAAAGTTGGGGTCTTTGGTGCTTCCAACCTCCTGCCAACCTGGAGTGCACAACGCAGCGCCCCAGCCTTGCACACTGACGCAGGGGCGTGGCGTGACTCGGCTTGGGACAAGGTTCTGTTTCTGTTTTGGAAGAACCTCCTGTCCTTGAAACATGGACAGCAGTGTGGTCCTCAGCTCCCAGCGAAGCCTCCACGATGGAATGAGGCCACAGGGCAGCCGGGACTCCCTGTCTCCCCTGCATTAACCCGTGCTCACCGTGTACCGTAGACTCACCCTGATATGTCCGCGTCGCCCACAGAGAGGAGCTCTGCGATGTCAACGTGTTGCTTCTGAAAGTTTATTGGCAACTAGAGGGTTGTTTTTAATGCACGGAAACTAAACAGATTCCTCCGGGAGTTCCCGAGAGAACCAGGTGGGCAAACCTTTGCTTATATACGTGCGGCCTCACCTGGAAGAGAAATAAACCACATGTACTAAAATGTGCACTCCGTCTCTGACTCCTCAGCTGCAGAGAAGAACGAGGGTATTGAAAGATGGAGCGGCCCCTCCGGCAGGTCATGTGGTGGGAGGCTTAGAAGCAGATTCCAGTCACGATTTCCATGCCAGGATTGAAAGAGGGGCTTGAATGAATGTCACGGGGCTCTCCTGTGGCCTCTAGCTGCTCTTACAGGACCAGGGACAGGACTGACTTCTGCTCTGCTCTTTCTCCAGAACTCCTCCTAAAGGTCACTGCTTTTTTTAAAAAAAAAAAAGAAAGAAAGAGTGTCTCACTCTGTCACCCAGGCTCTAGTGCAAGGGCACGATCTCAGCTCACTACAACCTCCACCTTCGGGGTTCAAGCGATTCTCCGGCCTTAGCCTCCCAAGGAGCTGGGATTGCAGGTACCCACCACCACGCCCAGCTAAGTGTTGTGTTTTTAGTAGAGATGGGGTTTCACCATGTTGGCCAGGCTGGTCTCGAACTCAGCCTCAGGTGATCCTCCTGCCACGACCTCCCAAAGTGCTGGGATTACACGTACCTTGCCCAGCTAGTAACTGCATCTCAATACCCAAATGAGATTGGCTTTGGGGGATTCCATTGTCTCGCAGCTAGAGTGGGAGCTGAGTTGGAGGCTGGCCCTGCGTGAACTAGGAAGCAAGCCTTGGGAGTGTGCAAGCCTGGGTGTGGTCTGATCACTGCTATACATGTCACCTCCCTTTCCTGTCTCAGCTGCATTAGTCTCTCCAGCAAGGGAAAGGAGTGGGGTGGGTCCTGGACTTCTGTTTTCCCTGCCAACCTGCAGGTGGGCCCACCTTTACCATCCCAAACATCCTCTGAACAGCAGCCTGACTGCAGACTCGGAACAGCTATAGGAAGAGGGACTGGAGCTTGACCTGCTCCCGGAGAGAGAGAGCAGCAAACTCCACTAGGCCCCTCTGTGGGCAGAGCTTTTGCCAGGAACGGGTGAGTGTCCCAGGCTGTCATTTGGAGCCCACCACTTACCCACAGGGAACGGCCAGCAGAGCGGTTTCTTCTCCAAAGCTAATTCATCTCCAACGAGCTTTCTCCCTCCTCCAAAGCTGTACAGTCTTAAATTTAGGAGCAGCAAGGGTGTTACCACAGTCTCTTAACGCCCCACATTGCGGACTACTCAAGAAGCCTGCTGTGTCGTTGACAGATACACCCATATGGAAAATTTCCTTTCCTTCCTTCCCCCTTTCATTCATTTAAAAATGGGTTGTCGGCCGGGCGCGGTGGCTCAAGCCTGTAATCCCAGCACTTTGGGAGGCCGAGGCGGGTGGATCACGAGGTCAAGAGATCGAGACCATCCTGGTCAACATGGTGAAACCCCGTCTCTACTAAAAATACAAAAAACTAGCTAGGCGTGGTGGTGCATGCCTGTAATCCCAGCTACTTAGGAGGCTGAGGCAGGAGAATTGCCTGAGCCCAGGAGGCGGAGGTTGTGGTGAGCCGAGATCGTGCCATTGCACTCCAGCCTGGGTAACAAGAGCGAAACTCCGTCTCAAAAAAAAAAAAAAGGGTTGTCACCAGGAGTGCTGGCTCGTGCCTGTAATCTCAGCACTTTGGGGGTCCAGGGTGGGGGTCAAAGGCAGGAAGATCTCCTGAACTCAGGAGTTCTAGACCAACTGGGGCAATGTAACCCCATCTTTAAAAATAAATAGGCTGGTACAGTGGCTCATGCCTGTAGTCCCTACACTTTAGATGGGAGGCTGAGACGGGTGGAGGTCAGGAGGTTGAGACCAGCCTGGTCAACATGGGTGAAACCCCCATCTCTACTAAAAATACAAAACTTAGCTGGCTATGGTGGCAGGAGCCTGTAATCTCAGCTACTTGGGAGGCTGAGGCAGGAGAATCGCTTGAGCCTAGGAGGCGGAGGTTGTGGCGAGCTAAGATGACACCACCATACTCCAGTCTGGGTGACAGACCCTGTCTCAAAAAATAAATAAATACATACATACATACATACATACATACATACATAATGGATTGATTGCTTAACACAGGAGTCAATAAACTAGAGCCAGTGAGCCCAGCCTGGCCAGCCGCCTTGGAAGGCTTGTGGGTATAAAATAGTTTTTATATTTTTAAATAGCTTTTTAAAAAATCAGACATTTGCAACTCATTTTCTTTTTGGTTTTGTTTCTGAGACAAAGTGGTGGTTTGTCACCCAGGCTGGAGTACAGTGGCGCGATCTCAGCTCACTGCAAGCTCTGCCTCTGGGGTTCAAGCAATTCTCCTGCCTCAGCTTCCCAAGTAGCTGGGATTACAGGCATGCGCCACTACACCTGGCTAATTTTTGTATTTTTAATAAAGATGGGGTTTCACCTTATTGCCCAGGCCGGTCTTGAATTCCTGGACTCAAGTAATCTTCTGCCTCAGCCTCCCAAAGTGCTCGGATTACAGGCATGAGCCACCACACCCGGCCCGTCATCGTTTTTCTGATTACAAAAGAATGTGTGTGGTGCAAACATTTCAAACTTTACAAAAATGTGTGAGAAAGTGAAAATCCCCCATAATCCATCAACCCAGAGCAAAACGCCAGGACTCGTTCAGTTCACATTCTCCAGTTTTGGATAATGCATGTGTAGGAATGTAGTCACACTATACACATTGTTCTGCAATCGGTTTTTCTACCTAGTGCTTTATCTTGGACATCTTCTCTCATTCTTTACAAATTCACTCTACTTTTGGGCCAGGTGCAGTGGCTCTTGTCTATCACCCCAGCACTTTGGGAGGCCAGGACCAGCCTGCCAACATGTGAGAGCCCATCTCTACAAAAAAATACAAAAATTAGCCAGGTGTAGTGGCGTGCACCTGTAGTCCCAGCTACTCGGGAGGCTGGGGTGAGAGGATCTCCTGAGCCCTGGGAGGTCTAAGTGAGCTGTGATCGTGCCACTGTCCTCCAGCCTTGGTGACAGAGCAAGGACCATGTCTCCAAAAATAAAAATGAAGGCCAGGTGCAGTGCCTCATGCCTGTAATCCCAGCACTTTGGGAGGCCAAGGCAGTTGGATCACCTGAGGGAGTTCGAGATCAGCCTGGCCAACATGGTGAAACCCCGTCTCTAAAATAAAGAAAGCAGTAAAGCAATGGGCCCATGCCCCTAAAGCCAATGCGTTCCCCACATACCCATCACTCAAAAGCAGCTGGTCTGACAGAACAACAACAACAAAAAAAAGTGTTCCATTTTCCACCACCCATGCAGGGGTACAGAGAAGAGCGGAGGCTCTGTCAGCATCAGAATCCCATTGAGAAAAAATACTCTGGCTGGGTACGGTGGCTCACACCATTGAAAGGCTGAGGTAGGCAGATTACTTGAGATCAAGAGTTTGAGACCAGCCTGGCCAACATGGTGAAACCCCGTCTCTACTAAAAGTACAAAAATTAGCTGGGCATGGTGGCAGGTGCCTATAATCCCGGCTGCTCAGGAGGCTGAGGCAGGAGAATCGCTTGAACTCAGGAGGTGGAGGTTGCAGTGAGCTGAGATTGCCCCACTGCACTCCAACATGGGCGACAGAGCAAGACTCCATCTCAAAAAAAAAAAAAAAAAAAAACGCTCTTCACGCCTACCAACGATTTGTCCATTTGATGGGCACTTTCCTGCAAGCACAACTCAAAACGCTTTCCTGAGGCTTATGCGCACAAAGCAGCACTCGTATTTGTCTTTGAACAGGTGAACAAAAGTCAGTGTCCACGGTCATGTTAGCTGTACACAAGTCTGTCACGCTGATTCACGGGAACTCGCTGAGCCGTTAAGTCCTAGGCGATCAGGTAGACAAACGGGGGTGCTAGTAACCCATCAAACACCGGGGGGAGGCTCATGGGGAGAAGAGGACCTCACTGCTGATAAGTTTGAGAGGGTTTTTGCAACATCTGAGGGCAACGTCAGGCAGGCAACTCACAGTCTGGACTGTCAGGTCTGACCCACAGACCCTGACCCAGCGATGGATGAACAAATGTACTCAGACACAGATATCCAGTGAAAGAGTGGGCTGGGTGTCCAGGCCACTCACAGACACTGAGGAGGGTGCTGTAAAGAGTCAGCGGCTGCAGCCCTCACAAGCTGGTGCTGCGGGCATTTATTCAGTATAGATTTAATGACAGGGGCTTTGAGTCAACACACTTGTGGATAATTAACATGGTTGCCCTCCCGGAAGAGAGCAGTCCTACAGATGATTAAAGGGCAGGTTCTGAGGCCTAAGTACACTAACTTACCTAGATCAGTTTCTTTACATCCCCTAGTTATCTAACTTAGGCTTTCAGGCACTGGATAAAAGAATCTGGCTGCCTTCAGGCAAATCCTATTCTGAGGCTTTTGCAAGACCCTCCGGCCTTCCAAGAAAGTTTGCATCCATTTCACAATTTTCCCCACCCCCCTGTCCTACACTGGACCGATGAGGCCTGGATCTGGGAGACAACACATAGGCGCAGTCACTAATGCCAAGGAGAGAGGTGGAGGAGCCCAGAAAGAGGAGCAGAGTCCAATATGGGACCCCAGAATTTGAGGAGCTGGCCAGGCATGGTGGCTGAGCCTATAATCCCAGCACTTTGGGAGGCTGAGGCGGGTGGATCACCTGAGGTTAGGAACTTTGAGACTAACCGGGTCAACATGGTGAAACCCTGTCTCTACTTAAAGAAAATTAGCCAGGAGTGGTGGTGCATGCCTGTAGTTCCAGCCACTTGGGAGGCTGAGGCATGAGAATCACCTGAACCCGGAAGGTTGAGGTTGCAGTGAGCCAAGATCACACCACTGCACTCCAGTCTGCGTGGCAGAGTGAGACACTGTTTCAAATATATATATTTCTGCCTGCTTCTATATATATTGAAAGAAGCAGGAGGGAAACCAGAGAGCTGGTATAGGGGAAGAAAGGAGGGGAGGCCTCGCAGTTAGAACCAGGGCTGCAGAGCACACCGACTGGGCAAAAGGTCTTAGCCTTGGCCTGGCTCTCAAGGGAGAGGCTCCTCCTCCTGTGGAGGACG